CCACAAGAGGCATTGGGCAAGAACTCGGATTTGGTCCTGCAGGGCCTCTCGCTTTGCATTGAAGAATCTGGCCCCTTACGACGCGAGATGATGACGTCTCCTGACTTTTGGGTCATCCTGCGAACCTTGGCTCAACGCCCTGAGGCGGCAGCATTGGTGTTTGAAATCTTGGAGAAGGGAACCACCGGAACGCCTCCAGCCATCATGGCCGATAACTACGAAGCGGCAATTTCGCTCTTGAATGACTTTGCTTCTGCTGCCAGCCCGCGTCAACCTAAGATGCAACCCCGAAGCCCCCGATCGCCGAGAACCAATCCTCCTAAACAGGAAAAGAAGCTGTAAGTACCGGAGAATACTTCGTTTTGGTGCCAGTTTAGCTAACTCTTGCTCGTAGCAACCCCGAGGCTGTCAACAGAGGATCAAAGGCAGTCAACATGCTTTACAACATGACAGACAGGATTCCCCACCTCATGCAACAGTCTCAGCTTGAAAGTAGTGAAGGTTTGTTAATTACATGAATTACTATTGTGCGCCTGTTTCTGACCGTCCTATAGCTTGGTCCGCATACTGGTTGCCTATCTTCCAAGCATTGACGACGCAATGTGCAAACCCTTGCAGGGACGTGCGACAGCTTGCCTTTTCCGCTCTCCAACGGTCGCTCCTATCACCAGAGTTGACTTGCAGTGACCCCAAAGAATGGACCGCCATTTTTGGAAAGGTGCTGTTCCCCCTGATAACCCAGCTCCTCAAGCCTGAAGTATTCCTTTCGGACCGAGATGGAATGAGCGAGATGAGAGTACAGTCTGCCTCTCTCCTCTGCAAGGTTTTCCTTCAGTATATGGTACTGCTATCTGAATGGGACGGCATGCTGGATCTCTGGATCAAGATCATTGAAATCATGGACCGGCTTATGAACAGTGGCCAAGGCGATAGCCTCGTGAGTTATTCAACAAACAGTTCTAGTCGAGCGAGTACTGACCAATTACAGGAGGAGGCGGTCCGTGAGAATCTCAAGAACGTGCTCTTGTTCATGGCCAGTAGCGGATATCTTGTTTCGCCGCAGAAGGATCCCTCAAAGGAGAAGCTTTGGTCAGAAACCTGGAAACGCATAGATCGTTTCTTACCCGAGCTTCGCGGAGAGCTCGCACTAGACGAGCCACCGAGCAAGGAAAACACAAATGAGCAGACTGTTGACGCGCCAGCACAATCTCAGGATGCAGACGAAGAGATTCAGGAGAAAGCAGCTGAGGATGCAGAAACTTCATCATCAGACGACTCATAAAAGGAGGGCGATGCAAGCATATAGTAGATTTCTTAATAGAAGGAGCAAGAAGGAATGGAAGGTCAACTCCAAGACCACATTATCAACATTTCTTGCCTAATGGCGTCTGGATTGAGATTTGTTGTGCATTTAATTGCCACGTTAACGCAGTCTCTACGACATGACTAATAAAGTTTTTGTTTCTTTTATAGTCCCCAGGAAATTGATGAATTAAAGAATATTTATGTAGCAGCATTTTCAAGCACATGTTTGATATCTTAGTCAATTTGGGGGGACCATGGTCGCCTGAACATCTAAGCTAGCTGTAGTCGTAAGCATGTGACCCAAGCGACGTCATATGAGATGTGGGGGATTGTTCGGGGGTTAACTCAAGACACTATACCTACGATAATTGTAAGAGGTAAGTAGCACGACGATAGGGGACTTTGAGTAACAGTCCGAGCATCGGTCCCTGGAGTCTAGATCCCGATCTGTTTGGCTGTGAATTCGTTTACTACGCGCCCTGTACCTAGGTGCTTCCGGGACCCAGATTCCTAATTCTACAACAATTAAAGCCTTTGGCCGATTAGGCCCAAACGAACGTTTCTCTTATATGTGCAAAAACATCCTCTAGCAGCTACCCACTGACAGAGGTCGTGGGATGTCACGCGGTTGTCATAATGTCTGAATACGGTATTCCAGACGCGCTCAGCTCAGGAACCGAAATAAACGCTTTACCAACCACCGACGACGCGAGCGGTGATGCGCCCGTATTTCCTTCACTACAAAACAATGGAGCTACAAGCCCACTATCTTCCGAAGCCGCTGGCGGTCCTACGATCGAGGAAGACGATAACGACGACGAGCCAGCGGTAGCGAAACCCTTTGTCCGAACGACAAGTCCTGATCCTTCCACCAGGGCCTTTCCAGACACATTTGACGATCGTGTCCCCGATCGGCTGATTTACAAGATGCATAAGTTCAGTCTATACGAGACGGCTAGTCGATATTATATTGTCGGTGTGGACGTCAGCGAAACGCGGTACCGTATCCTCAAGATTGACCGCACTACCGAAGGCGCAGAGCTCAGTGTGACAGACGACAAGATTGTTTATAGTCTCAAAGAGATGAATCAACTGCTGGATACCATAGATGATGGAAACCGAGGGACAGGCGGTATCAAGCTCCGTTGCACAACATGGGGTTTACTAGGGTTTATCAAATTCACCGGACCTTACTACATGCTACTTATCACCAAGAAAAGCACCGTCGCAATGGTGGGAGGACACTATATATATCAGATTGAGGGGACGGAGCTTGTTCCTCTTACGCCACCCAAGTTCAAACCCGACGCTCGCAATACGGAGGAGCAGCGATTTCTTGGTATCCTGAATAATCTTGACCTTACTCGCTCTTTCTACTATAGCTATTCTTATGATGTTACGCGGACGCTGCAGCATAATGTTATCCGGGAGCGCGAGGCTCTAGCGAAGGGTATGCTCCCACCAGACGATGATAACTTTAACTCCATGTTCGTGTGGAATGACTACCTGCTACAACCTGCCGTTGCTGCTCTACGGGATCCTTACGACTGGTGCCGTCCTATTATTCATGGGTATATTGACCAAGCAGGTGAGTATTGTTAGCAATGATCGAAATTCTGTACCAGCGAGCAGTTCTGACAATCAGTAGCTCTCTCGATATATGGACGTACTGCGCATATCACGGTTATTGCCAGGCGGTCACGCTACTTTGCTGGTGCCCGTTTCCTGAAGAGAGGAGCTAACGATCTCGTATGTTGTCCCTTACCCATACAATCGACACCAGTTTGAAGGACTGTGCTCTGACAGCTTATAGGGCTACGTTGCCAACGATGTTGAGACCGAACAGATCGTTGCCGAATCTCTAACGACATCATTCCACGCACCTGGACCTGAACTATATTGTAGCCCGCAATACACTTCCTATGTTCAGCACCGAGGAAGTATTCCACTCTACTGGACCCAAGACAGCACTGGCGTTACACCCAAACCCCCAATAGAGCTTAATTTGGTTGATCCCTTCTACGGAGCAGCTGCACTACATTTCGATAACCTGTTTGAGCGATACGGAGCACCAATCTATGTCGTCAATTTGATCAAAGCCAAGGAGCGCACACCACGGGAATCGAAGCTGTTAGAAGAGTACACGCATGCAATCAACTACCTCAACCAATTCTTGCCAGAAGATAAGAAGATAATCCACAAGGCTTGGGATATGAGTCGTGCCTCAAAAGTGCGCGGAGGGGATGTCATAGGCAATCTCGAACTTATTGCAGAATCAGTCCTTACTACTACTGGCTTCTTCCAGAATGGCGACGGTTTGACGAGCCCCATGACGGCGCAGAACGGAGTCGCCAGAACGAATTGTATTGATTGCTTAGATCGTACCAACGCTGCGCAGTTTGTCATCGGAAAGAGAGCGCTTGGTCACCAGCTCCATGCTCTTGGTATACTGGAGGATACATCGATCGATTACGACACAGACGCGGTCAACCTGTTCACCCACATGTGGCACGATCATGGCGACACCATTGCCGTTCAGTACGGCGGCTCGCAGCTAGTCAATACTATGGAAACATATCGCAAGATCAACCAATGGACCAGTCATTCACGAGATATGATCGAAAGCTTCAAGCGGTACTATAATAATTCTTTTCTCGACAGTCAGCGCCAGGAGGCATACAACTTGTTTCTTGGCAATTATATCTTCGTTCAAGGCCAACCGATGTTATGGGATCTGGCCACTGATTATTACCTACATCATGCCGACCCGCGAGACTGGTCGGTCAGAATGAAACACGACTACATCAATTGGTACGTTCCGGCTCACTTGCAGGAACGAACTGTACCGCCATACGTACCAAGCAAGGATATTGCTCGCGTTCATCCGGTTGAATTCTTTGACGATTATTGGCTGGAGTATTACAGACCTTCTACCCTCTCCTCCTTTCCCAAAATGTTTGCATATAAGATGAACTCGACTATCAAATATATCCCCCTGAAATCAACTCAGGATGGCCGCTACGACCTGAGCCCCTTTAGAGTCCGCACAGACAACGATGTCGAACATGGCGAGAAGAAGAAAGCTAAGAAAGACGCTTCTTCAGTACGAGGCGTGACAGGAGTAAACGGGGTGTCAGACACAGCTTCGGGCGTGCCACAAGCGAAAGGAATCTCTCTCCAGCGTTGGCTGCAACCCACACAAGACAAGCATGCCCTTAGCAGTTCCTTGCGATCAGATGCAAGCCAGCAGTTGAAAGCGTCTGACCAAGATCCTAATGCGAAGCCGACCGCATTGGAAAAGTCCAAGGCCGCACAATGGACCTTTACCAAAGCTGTACACGATTCTCTGAATCCATCTGTTGCCGAACAAGAGTCTGAAGATTACGAGCGGTATATCAAACATCCTCAAAATCTTCCTCTTGTCATCTCGAGTGACACGCCTGTCGATGTAGATGCATCCGAATATCAGGAATATCTAAGTGGTGGCTGGCAGGACGAGGGTTTAATGGTGAAGGGCACGGAAGAAGAGATTGATGTCTATGCCGAACTACTCAAGGTAGGGGAGAATCCCCTAACGGTAACCGAGGAGGACGGTCCCAAGAAACGATACAAAGCTTATAGGAAATGGCTGCGTGGAAAGTCTTTCTTCAAGCAGCAACCACTTGACTAGGTCTTGGTAGCAGCAGAGCTGGTCTTCAAGCTGAGGCGGTAGAAAACAGTCTTGCTAGTTTTGGTTCTTTTTTCAACGCTTCATCGAGATCTGATGGCCGTTTAGAAGCATCCTCGGTCCAAAGTGCCTTCAAAGCTTTGGCCTTGCTTGTCAGTTCTTGAGATACAGCTTGAAGCCCCTCTTTCTGGTCTTGAGACACACTGTCTTCGATCTCTTCCAAGGTGTTGAGCCAGCACAACGATAGGATTCGAATAACATTTTCCATATGTTCAGGCTCTCGGACTCGAGGCCATGCGTTGCCGATTATCGCACCAACTAGCTGCGTTGTTGCTAAGAGAGTTGGAGGATACGAGACTGCAAAAGGGTCTGTCATGATGGACGACGACATTGAGAGAAGAGCCTAGTGCAGATGACTTAGCGATTTGAATATTCTAAAGGAGCACATAGAAACGTACCGAAAGGTGCTTAATTGAATAGATACCCATGCAATTGACCACCGCTGCGGCGTTTTGCACGATGACCTGTACTATACGCGTGTACTGTGAAGCATGATGGTGACCAGCAAAAACCCCATCTCGAAGGATCTTGTCGAGAAATCTGCGACGCTCAGGGTTGCCCTGGCTTCCAGTGCGCTCTGCCAGCTTGATGAGCACGTCGTAAGCCGGGTTAAGGATGGTTATAGATTCAGCCTCTGGGGTAACACTGGGGAGGTAGAGGAGGAGGGGGAATGTGACGTCTGCGAAGACACGTCCTATGCCTCTGCCTTGCAGTACTTGAGCTGGACACTTTTCCACAAAGACAGCCAAGACTCTCAAGCCTTTTGCTTTGACCTCGATCGCCTGGTCTTCCACAAGCGCTAACAAGGCTGGCATAAACAAAGGCCAATGCTCTTTGATAGTTGATTCCTACGAGAAGTAAGATTAGCGCTCCAAGATAGATATAGATAAAGTGACTGACGGTTGATGCGTTGACAGCCCATTGTATCGTGGCCTCCGCCCAGGGAGCTTGGCTTCTCCACGACTGTACTTCTGAAAATGTCTGTGACCGATCATCTACTGTGGCATACTGGTAGGGTCTTCCTGAAGCTGTGATTCTAGATGAAGCTTTTACAAATAGTGGCTTCAAAGTGTTTTGGAGTATGTCATTACCGATGAACCCTGGCAGTTTCTGAGCTGAGATCTGCTCAGTCAAAGTCCTTGTGGCTGTTGACGCAGCGATATCATTTGTGCATGGATCTTGGGAATCCGTAACAGCAGTCAGCTTTATCAGAACATCCGTGCCTAAAGCCAGTGAGTGGGTTGAAGAAGCAATAGCAATGCCAGCAACGGCTGCTTCTGTGATAAGGTCTGACTGTTCTGCCTTGTGTTAGTCATACGCCAGTGGCTTCAGTAGGATGATGTTTTGGCCTACCTTTGTCTGTCCCTAATATGATCACTTTTTCACCAAGGCTCCTGACAAGTTCTTCCAAATGAGCGTTTTCCAGATCATCTTGCGCTTTTGAAGAGAGATAACCAACTGCTAGAAGGACGGCATCATGGAGGTCCTAATGATTGAATGTTAGCCACAATATATCCACATGAGCTAAGCCGGTATGCACAAGGTATGGACGCGCACCTCATCGTTGGCGGCAGCTAAAGAGGAAGAGACATCCGCTACGCTTGTTTGAAGGGTTTGCTGTAACTTATCTGGACCACGAAATACAGTCAGTTTTGAATCACCATCAAAGGAGCCACTATATGGTATAGCGCTTACCTGAAAGCTCAGAAAGTCGCTCGAGATTCGAAGGGCCGAGTAAATCCTCCAATGCGCCGGGCGTGTGGTTAGTCGTGATATCGGCCATTGCCACGAATACCTAATATCTGGGCAGGATAATGTACGGGCTTGTCAAAGGCAAGACGAAGAGACCAATGCAGGCACAGTTACAGTTACAGAGGATGTCGTTTTTACGCTGGGAAAACAGTGGAGACCCACCATACTTAGCTGCCTACGGATGCTGTACAACTACTGGAAGACTCCATGTCATTGTTAGGTGCTATACCTACTAAATCCGCTCGCTATTACACTTCAATAGCTACCTATAGATATGTAGAAGTATAATATTCTTTCTCGTAATTCTTTTCGATTCATAAATGTTGAGTGGTATTTTCACATGTAACCTCTTCCCCATCTATAGTAAAGTGTAAGCAAGCAACACAGTATCATGTGCTTGGTGATGCCTTCCGCATGCCTACTCAGGTAGGAAGCAAGGCAGTTTGAATGCCGTCTGGGCTAAAACTGGGAATAGAATCATTCTTCCTTAGATTTAACCATCATAGCCTCCTTCCATCTATGGTATCTCCAGCTCTGTTCTCCGGCTTTTCACCTCCTCTATAGCACCTGCTGGATCCGTTGCATCAGGGTTACGGAGTTGCCATGCAATACACACTTGAAGAGCCGGCCCAGTCCATTTTCCAGGTTTCGTGCCGAGTGCTTTGACCAGACCCTTTCCATCGAGTAGCTTTTTGAGAGATGTGACTTCATAAAGGTCCAGCTTAGCCAGGTGGTCGAGGAACTTTTTCCAACCTGCTAAGAATTCGCTTTGCTCTAAGAATATGTTAGTCCGAATGCTGACGGATAGTGAGAGAGCTCGTTACTGACTTTCTGATCCTTCACGGTTCCATGTTGGAAGTGTTTCTAGTGCTTCAACTAGCAGAGCATTGAGGACTTGTACTCTCCAACTACCAGCTGGAGAATCCCATTTGCGGATGGCCATGCCAAAACGATCGCGCTCTTCGAGATATGAAGCTCCGTTACAGACAGCCTCTTTTAATTCCAGAATCTCTTCTCGGTGGCGATATGCTGCAGAAATAACGTCTGCCAACTTGTTTGGGGCCCTGAAGCCTTCACGAGCGACAACAGCTACGGGTGGATAAGCACTTGGCTTCTTGCGAAAGTTCGGGGGTTCTTCGACGATCATCCAGGGAGTCAAAGCAGCAAGGTTCCATGCATAGAAAGGAGAAGAAGCATCTTCAGAAGTAATAAGACGTCCAGCCACAGAAGTTGGGGTTGGATCCTTCAGGAGCTCATCGAGGCAAGTGTATGCAACGCTCCACTGCGAGATCTCTGGTGTTGGGAGGTTGTTGTGTTCAGGGTCGGTAAAGATGGCGTGGAAGAGCTGCAGCTCATCGATCAGTTCGAGTGATTGATGTGGGTGAGCTCCTTCTCGGGTGTTAGTAAATCTCACGATACTGTTGCAACCAAACTGACCTTTTAGCATCTTCTCATACTCTACACCAACTCGTTCTCGGCTGATCTTGACACGCAGTGCCTCCAAGACCTTTGAGTCCGCCATGAACTTGTGTGTTTCAGAATCAATTTCGAACTGAAGTCGACTGGCGAAGCGAACGAGCCGCAAGACCCGTAGGGGGTCGTCCATGAAAGTCTGGAAAGGCTCCAAAGGCGTTCTGATAATTTTGGCATCCATATCGGCAAGCCCCCCTGTGAAGTCCTCAACACGATCATCATGTAGGTTATAGAAGAGTGCGTTCACAGTAGCATCGCGACGGCGCGCATCTTCTTCCGCTGTGCCAAACTCCATCTGAGGGTTACGACTGTCCTCAGTGTAGGTCTCTTTTCGAAGATTAACGAAGTCGAGGTCTAGTCCGAACATCTTGACCATGGCCGTTTCAAGATGCTTTGACTTTTCTGGGTTGCGGGCAACATTGTGCAGACTGCCAATATCCGCAGGCCCAATGTTGTGCTTAGCCATGGCATCTGGCTGCTCACAATAATCGCACATGGCTTGAGCAAAGGGAACGCCAGTCATGGCGTTGATTGCGACGTCGATATCATGGCTCTGAATGTTGAGAAGCTTATCGCGCACCCAACCACCAGCCCAGCGCAGGACAATAGGCTCTGGAGCTTGGCGAGAATCATCAATGGACCTGGCTACATCGAGAAGAAGACGGCGAAGCTGCTGTTCCTTGGGAGTGAGTTGGATAGTAGCAGTCGCCATGAGGAGTTTCCGTTTAAAAATCCGAGTAGGTGATGTGGTAGAGGACGAGTCTAGGTTGGAAGCCAGTGGGTATTGCTCTTTCAAGAATGAGTCAAGATTTCTCTTCATGGCAAACCCAGGACGGCCCAGGCGCTTTAGCATGGATTGAGCGGGTGAGAGCGTGGTTGACTGCCTTTCAGGTTAATCTGATGTAATTTTTGAGAGCTTGAAGTAGGTGGGGCCGTTGTGCAGAAGAGGGAAAAAAGAAAGACAAGATAAGAAACATTGGTGTTGTTTTTATTTGCTCCTTCAACATTCTTCGCAATTGGTAGTGAAGGAGGTTCACTAAGTTAAAATCAATTTGAGTATGTAAACACACTCAGCTTGCCTTGAAGATTTAAGTTGAAATCTACAGATTATTCTAGTACTTGGTGATGGTTCACAATAAAAGTTTCTTGGTGTTTCTGTCGACCTCTGTAGGTGGCAGGTTCCCTATAGCGCCATAGGCCTCTACAGTCCCTCTACAAGCCAGGCGACCTCATTGGCCCAAAACTTCAAGACACACCACTGTGTGACTCAGAATTACTGTATGGCTGATACTTTACAGGGGATCAACATGCAGAACATGCCTGATCTGATCGTAAACATTAGTATGTATCCTATTACTTCTAAGATGTGGTTCAAGCAATATTCGTCGTTTGAGAGTACACTCATAAAGTCTAATAAAATATCCTACTTCAAAAATAGTTCGTCCGTCCACCTTGAGTTGAGGCTCCTTGATGATCTGAGACTACTGTATCGGAATGGGTCTGCTCAGCGCAAAGTTAGCCAAGTCTCGTTGATCTTCTTACCAACAGCTTCCTAAACCTGGGGTAAAGCCAATGCTGGCTAGAGGCTCTTGGCTTAGATTAACTAGCGCCTTGTATTACATCCAAGATCGAGCTGCCAAGTACAGTTATTCAGATACCGTACAGTGCCTATTGGATGTATACGATCGGTGAACAGGCACACGAGAGTTCATGATGGATTTGTCCAGAGTCTACCATATATCTGGAAGTGTCTCTTAACGTCACCTATACTGTAGGATACATTCTTACAGACCATTGTATTTCCCAATTACCGTTGCCCATTCTCTCCTGTTGACACATACATATCCAACACAGTGATTTGACATGAAATTACAAACAATTGCCAAAAAGGCTTCGCTGGCTTGCCACTGTGGCTGCATAAGTGCGTGCTGCATGTCTGCCAGCTCTTTGCCGAGCTGAGCTATCTACGGTGCATGGCTCAAATTATTCATCCAATTATCTTCATCGCAGGAACACCCTCGTACTCCTGATGCACCTCTCTTTTACGGATAAGCTGCCGGGTACGGTAGCTCTGATAACCACCAACGGACTCTGGCAAATAGCTATTTGAAGCAATGAGCGACACTGGTCACGGTACCTCTGCCTAGCTTATCTGTTAGCCATCGTTACCACCACCACCTCCAATTTCCCCTCAAAGCTATCATGTTTGGCGCCGCCTCCCAATCATTTCCTCTGTTTTGGCTAGAGGCGGGCTGATCCTACACTGTCTCGTCATCGAGGTTGTGTTCCAGCTCAAATGGCGGCAACCTCCTTTGCGACTGCTCAACCACTCATCAACGACTCTTTGTATTGTGACCATCACACTTACGTCAATGGCCGTGGTGATCTAGAATCTAAGCCACGTTCACTTGCCTCTTTGCGTAGTAACGGACACTTCTTACCTCGACTAACAGATTCTCAAAGGCATCACTACGTACAAGCCTCAGTCGATGCACCTCACCTTCCTAGAGCTAGCAGTCAGCAGGCGAAGCAAAGACTCAAGCTTTGCGGGGTAGATCGTCCCAGTGATACTTTCATGGGCAGTATATAAACACCCCATCATCGAACTCCTTGTCATCAACTTTCCCAGATACCTACATACCAACAACTTCAAACTACTCGATACCCCTTACCATATACCCCTTTACCAAAAACCTACAGCTTGATTAAACCGGCATCAGATCCAAACCAAGAACAATGGAAGGACAACCCATCAACAACCAAGAAACCACCACACAGCCTCTGAACGAAACCCCCGTCGTTGGCTCTCCTCCTCAAGACCGCCGGGCAAGTGATGCTGGATACGACCGAAGAATGAGTGATGAGTGGGGTAAGTACCAACATCAAAACTCTCTAAGATGAGCAATAAGGCTGATCAATACAAGATGCCTCAAAGGTCCCTCCCAGTCGTTTCCAGAAGCGCAAGGGATCCATCTATGCTACGCCCGGTTCTCGTGACGGCCACGTTGACAGGAATTACGCAGACAAGTATTGGAGCAAGATGACCGAGAAGAATTGGGGTAGTAAATAAACTCCAACCATTGCAACAAATAAATTTCGGACGGTGGTCCTTTGTAAGAAGACAGAGAAACGGGAACTAAGGGAATAATTCGTCGTGGGTAAACGAGCTACATATATGACTTGGCGCAATTGAATTCAAATCAGAAATACCACCTGTTTTACCAATCATTCATCAAGACCATCAATCTCAATAGCATCGGGATTGGATGGAGCGGTGGTCGTCGTTGGGTTTCCTCCTACTGGGCCCGTACTGGCCGCGACAAATCCTTGAGGTGCTCTTGACTGTCTTTCCAATGCTGCCATAGCATCTGTAATCTCAGCATCCTCCGCACTATCAGGTTGGCGCTGGCTTCTTGCCAGAGCCTGAGAGGCAATGAAGTTAACATCAGTGTTGTACTGTGCTTGGACACTTCGCTTGATGCGCAGCATCTCCTTGAAAGTGTCTTCGTTGCCGTGCTGCACCTCAAACTGCTCCCACTTGGTCCAGAAGTCGGGGCTGGTTCGAGGATCACAGAACTGCGATGCGTGGCCATAGATGGCGCGAGCCCGGTCGATTTCGCCCAACCTCTTCTCCATATCCGCAAACTTGAGGCACATGTCCTTGGCTTCGACATCGGGAAGAGCAGCGATAGCTCTCTCGTAGATTGGCCGGGTCGATGTCAGGCCAAAGTTGGAAGCAGATTTGGTGATATAAAAGTTGAACATGTCGGCTCGATCTTCGTCCGCGACAGCCCTTGTGGCCCGCTCGTAGATGCGCATGGCATGTCGCGCCAAGCCACGCTCCTCTTCTAGATTACCGTACATGAGGTAAATCGTCTTGGCGAATTTGGGAGGGCAATCCTCCACGGCTTGCTCGAAGAGATCTCGCAGACGTTCGATTCCAATCTTGCGATCGGCAGCTTTAGTAAGATAGAGGTTCCAAAGCTCGAAGGCAACGGGATAACTAAAGAGATCCAAGCCGCGCTCATATATCTTGAACGACTCTTCATAGTATTTATGCTCCTCGAGCAAGTTTGCGTAGTTGACAACTGTTTGAGGTGTCGCAATGCGGAGCTCAAATATCCGCTCATAAACCTTCTTGGTTTCATCCAATGTTGATACACTTTCGACGAGGTCGACGTAAAAACTCCACAGTTTCCAACTCTTGTGGACTCGTTGTTGCGGTGATAGAGTCTCGTCGAAATAGTCAACGGTGGACCTCTTAGGCGCTTGAACTGCCTTGGCCATGATTCGAACGGCATCATCGAAGTTCTCGTTCCGTAACTCCATTTCTGCCCATTCAATCCACATATCGGCGAGTTCTGCTACTGATTTGAAAGGGACTTTGATAGCCTTTTCCATGATAACACGAGCGTTCCTCAGGTCACCCCCACGCTCATAGAACTTGGCATAATTAGCCCAGAGTTGGTGGAAAGCACCCACAGCCCGCTTTGGTTGAATGGCTGCAATGGCGTCTGTGTATGTCTGAGCAACCTCTTTCTTGTTATCGCCCCAGAGGGCGACACGCTTCTCCCACTCAGGCACATTGTTGGGGTTTTGGCGTAATAGGACGTCGTTTAAGAGGAATGGACGCCTGTCCATCAGCTGTTCGAAACGCATCATCCGGATGTCGAGTTCAAAATCTGCGTTCTCATCGTCGACACCCTTTTCAGCCCGTCCAGATGCAACTTCCATCAGGGCACCGATGATAGATTCCTCGAATTCGGTGTATGCCTCGAAGATCAGAGTGAAATCCCGAACTGTCATGACTGTAGTGATGCCCTCTTCAAACACATCGCGTGCTCGCTCAAAGCTTCCTCTTCGAATCCAGTAAGTGGCGAGACCAGACCAGAGCTTCCCTCGCTGGTCAGCAAACCTGGAGATACCACTTCGAATAATCCGCTCGGCGTTGATTCCTGTTTCGTGTCCAGTTTCGATGTCGGCCGCATGCGCGACAAGCAAATCAACCATCTCACTCCAGAGTTCGTAATGTCCTTTGCCGTGCTTGCTGTTGAATCTAGTATTGTTGAGAACTTCGATAAACTTGAGCGCAGCCTCGGTATATAGACCGTTTTGTACAAGAAGTTCGATAAAGTCTTCGGCATCTTCAGGATGCACCTGCATGTAGCGTCGCCAGATTTTCACGGCAGTTTCTCCAGCAGCAGAGTTGGCAAAAGGCCTATAGATGGCCCATATACGATTATGTTGTGTTATAGGAAGGGCTCTCAAGGCTCGATCGAATACATGTCGTGTCAGGGTGACGAGTGGCTGCTTTGTCAAGAACCGAAGGTACATCTCCCATATTCGCGGCATCTTGTGGAGCAGGTTGAGAGCTTTTTCAAAGAGGGCGTTGACTTTGCGATATTCCTTATCGAACAAAGCTGAGTTCAGCTTGGCGACGTGCTTAACTCGAAATGATAGATACTAGCCATTGTTAGAATCGGCGGTCGGGCAACAAATAGAAAGCAGCAAAACCATTCAACGTACCAACTTCCATAATTTGTATGATCGAGGTAACTGGGTGCAGGCCCGCTCCATCACATATGCTTGCTCGAGTATTGAACCGTGCCGGGTCTTGAATTCGATATAAGTAAGCCATGGCTTGACGCTACCGGGATCGCGGATGATGTCTTGCTCGTAAACGGAGTCTTCGTTGGACTAATAGTTTTTGCTGTCAGCTCTTTCGTATCCTTAAAACTACGCGTGTTAATAACACATACCACAAGATGCAGCTGAGGCTGTCTGCGCGCCCAACTCAGGGCTGGAACGATTGGGGCCATAATGACTATATTGGTGGTACGAGAAGTATAACGCAACACTTCCGCAGAAACAGTAATTAAGTTGGATCAGCGTGAACTGAACATCGTCGAGATCTGTGTAGAATGTCGAATGTCGAATATGTTTCCAAAACCAGTCTTTTCGTCGCGGGCCACGGTCTGGCCGTGAGCGCAAATTGACCGCTCTACGAACCGTCCGTCTCGTGAGCGTCTCGGGTCGATAAGGGAAAAGTCGGCGCGGTGACTCGGTATTTGCGACAGTCAAACGCGAGTATGGTTGTATTTTTCCAAAGCCGCGACATGACCTGCTGGGTAGTTGGAATATGTATGATCCACCCGCCGAAGTGGGTCTTTAAATGCTTACGTTATTGGGATTCTACGTAGCTGCTTGGCTGCCCAGTAGCCCAGCAACTCTGAGATAGAGCTGGTGCTTACCAGTTTAGTGGTGTCTCGGCCTTGTGACGATACCCAGCACGCTTCGACGAAACAGGAGCTTCTTCAACTTCACACATACACCTAGCACAGAACACCACCTATTACAACTCAAGATGTCGGGAGCTCAAGTGGGTTATATTAATTCTTCCACGATGGATGGAACGCTGATCTAGAGCTATCGCAGGATCGCGAGGCTGTCTTCCCAACCCGGCAGTCGCTGGGTATCATGAAGGCGAAGCTCAAGGGCGCAGAGATAGGTCACAGTCTGTTGAAAAGAAAGAGTGAGGCCCTGACGAAGTACGCAATTGACCCATACCAATGTATATTTATTTCTACAGTGCACTAATAATTTCGATGCAGACGATTCCGAGGTCAATAACCCCATCCCGCAGCTCTTTACTGCGACCTGAAGTATTCCCAACTGTACTGATACTTTTTGATACAGAGATCACCAAACGAATCGATGAGGCGAAGAGAAAGATGGGAAGAGTAATGCAGATTGCAGCTTTCTCCCTGGCAGAGGTCACCTATGCCGTGGGTGGTGATATTGGCTACCAAGTACAAGAGTCCGCCAAGTCTGCACGATTTCGAGTTCGCACAAAACAAGAAAACGTCTCGGGTGTTTTGCTTCCGGCGTTCGAAAGCTATCTTACCGAAGGCAACAACGATTTCGGCCTGACGGGCTTGGGCAAGGGTGGACAGCAGGTTCAACGCTGCAGAGAGACATATGCTCGTGCTGTAGAAGCACTCGTTGAACTTGCTAGTCTACAGACTGCATTCGTGATCCTTGATGAGGTTATCAAGGTAGTGAATAGGCGCGGTCAGTTCTTTCGACATTGTCCAAAGCCAACGATGCTAATGATTCTCAAGTTAACGCGATCGAACATGTCATCATACCAAGGACCGAGAACACCATCAAGTACATCAACTCTGAGCTAGACGAACTCGATCGTGAGGAATTTTACAGATTGAAGAAGGCATGATCCAACCGCCCGCTACGCAAGGTACAACTCTAACCAATCCCAGGTCGCAAACAAGAAACAGCGCGACACAGCTGTGGCAGACGCCGAGATGAAGGCGCGCCGAGAGGCAGAGGCTGCGGCACAAGGCGAGAAAACATCTCAGAAGAACGACGATACTGCTACAGACGTTCTTGGTGAGAATGACGACGACGACGTCATCTTTTAAACACTCAACACACGACCCAATTGATCAAGATCAGATGATCACACATTGTTTCGTTCACACGGTTGCACTCAGTTCAGAAGCGAGTTAAATGCGAGTCTCGTATATTAGATAAGAAATTATTAGGCCTTTGCAATGACCTACATCATCCCATGATAAAACAAACACTGTACCGTTGCTAGCGTCCTCGCCAAGTCTATTGTCGCTGGTATGTGACCTTGATAGGTTTGTCGCCCAGGTTCAGGCCAGCAGTGTTCTCCTTCGCAGTTATAGCTCCTTGTTCCGCCTCATATTCCACAAAGGCGATGCCACGACGACCAGGAACCAGTCTGACTTCCCGGAAACCTTCGAAGCGTCCAAACACACTTGTCAAAGCCTCGATATCGTAATCTTCGGGTAGATTCTGGACGAAAAGAATCTTGTTGGGTGGAAGGAACTCGTCGAGAACACTGTTTGCTGCTGCTGCGCTGGTAGACTTGAGGCCTGAGGACTTGGCGGCCTTCGCGGGTCTATTGTCGACCGCACCAGAAGCCCGTTTGTTGCTCTGTCTCTGCTCTTCTTCGGCTTTGCGCTTGTCTGTAGAAAGTAAATTAGCGGCTTATCGATGTTAATATGCAAAGAACTACTCACCCTTTTCAGCCTGTCGGTGGCGCTTGTGGTTTTCAAGCTCTTCTTGGCTGCCTGTAAGTTCGACAGTCTTGTCGCTTCGCGATCGTGCCAGGGCAAGCTTCATCGGCTTCTCAAAAAGATCAAATCCATTGATTTCTTCAATGGCCTCATTTGCGCTCTCAGCATTGTCATAGACAATGAACGCCTGGCCTTTTGCGCGAAGGTTCTTCTTCGCGACAATGTCAACAACATTGCCAAACTCGGAGAAAATCGTTCTCAAGGCATCCACCAACGTTTCGAGCTTGACGCGCTCTTCGAGATTCTGAACGTAGACACTACAGAATGTTAGCATAAGATCTCACACGTGGCGTCGGGTGTGCAATGACACGCACGTGGAAATTTGCGATTCTGATGCCATGATTGCGGCTTGCTTGTTTATTGTATTGATGAGCTAGGGAGGAATAATTAGATGGAGAATCGCGAAGCATGAAGTTTGGATTGGTAGACTAAGGCCAGGCACATGTAAGTCCAGATAAGATAAGACGGTCACATGATCTTCTAGCATTATACCTCCCAGGTACACTACAACAGCTATTAAGGCGCTAAGATGTATGGACAGCTGAGCCAACAAAGAAGCTTCTTTACTAACAAAACGATGGCCATTTAGCAGTCGAGCATTCTTATTTATCCGGCGATTCCGTATTTGTTAGTCTACACCAGTGAGAAGCTGCCCCTGGGGTTGACTGCATGAGTCAACCACCTATGAGGTAGGTAGTGGGCGGGTCCGTCATCGGAGGACCCCTCTAAATTTTGCCTACCAACCACCACAAGCCATCCCTGCCCCGCCAATTCAACCCTTCAACGAGTCACTCTTTGTGAACCTCGACTTGTATCATTTTGATCAACAGGCAGGTTTTTAGCAATTGTAGCTTGCTGTTACTCAAGATGGCTCAAGCGGGTGGACAAGATCCTACGAGGATTTCTATCCTCGGAGAACCCAACATTATTGTTGATCATGGGCTATGGCTCAACTTTGTCATTGATGATTTACTTCAGAATATCCCAACATCAACCTACGTCCTCATTACCGACACGAACCTCTTCAATACCTACGTTCCTGATTTCCAAAGTCGCTTTGAACATGCGTCTCAAGGAAAGGATACAAGACTTCTGACTTACACAATTCCTCCCGGCGAGGCTTCCAAGAGCCGTGACACCAAAGCTGAAATCGAAGACTGGATGCTTTCCCAACAATGCACTCGCGATACCGTTATTATAGCTCTGGGTGGTGGTGTAATGGGAGACATGATCGGTTACGTTGCAGCAACCTTCATGCGTGGTGTCCGCTTTGTCCAAGTACCCACCACTTTGCTCGCCATGGTCGACTCTTCCATCGGTGGAAAGACTGCCATTGACACACCTATGGGCAAAAATCTTGTCGGTGCTTTCTGGCAGCCAAAGCGCATTTACATTGACTTGACATTCCTCGAGACTCTTCCAGTCCGTGAGTTCATCAATGGCATGGCTGAAGTGATTAAGACTGCCGCCATTTGGAACGAGACCGAGTTCAGTGTCCTCGAGGAATCAGCAGCCCAGATCCTTGAATGCGTTCGTTCAAAGGGTGAAGATCGACTTACCCCCATCAAGGATGTGCTGAAGCGAATTGTTATCGGTTCCGCGGGTGTCAAAGCAGAGGTCGTATCCAGTGACGAGCGAGAAGGCGGCCTTCGCAATCTTCTCAACTTCGGCCACTCTATTGGCCATGCATTCGAAGCTATCTTGACACCCCAGCTTCTCCACGGTGAGGCTGTTGCCATCGGTATGGTGAAAGAAGCTGAGCTCGCCCGCTTCCTCGGTGTTCTGCGCCCAGGCGCTGTTGCGAGACTAGTCAAATGCATCGCTAGTTACGACCTCCCTACCTCCCTACAAGACAAGCGCGTCATTCAGTTGACAGCTGGAAAGAAATGCCCGGTTGATGTCCTGCTGGAAAAGATGGGTGTCGATAAAAAGAATGATGGCAAGAAAAAGAAGATCGTCTTGCTTTCTGCCATTGGTAAATGCCACGAGCCACGCGCCAGCGTTGTAGCGGACAAGACGATCCGAACCATTCTATCATCGTCAGTTCAGGTAACGCCTGGTGTCCCTAAGGACTTGGCCGTCACAGTGGCTCCTCCAGGCTCGAAGAGTATTTCCAACCGAGCTCTCATCTTAGCAGCCCTTGGGTCAGGAACTTGTCGTATTAAGAACCTCCTTCATTCGGATGACACCCAGTACATGCTGTCAGCTATTCATCAACTCGGTGGTGCATCTTACTCTTGGCAAGACGCTGGAGAGGTCCTGGTTGTGGAGGGCAAAGGTGGCAATCTGCAGGCCAGCAAGGAGCCCCTTTACTTGGGAAATGCTGGAACAGCATCCCGTTTCCTGACTACCGTCGTGGCTCTGGCTTCTCCTAGACAGGATACGACTACCAATGTCCTCACTGGTAACGCACGAATGAAGGTTCGTCCGATCGGTGCATTGGTTGACGCTCTGCGCTCGAATGGCCTTGAGATTGAGTATCTTGGCAAGGAGAACAGTCTGCCTCTGCGGATCGACGCCGCTGGCGGTTTTAAGGGAGGCGACATCGAGCTTTCTGCGACCATTTCCTCCCAGTATGTCTCTTCGATTCTTATGGCCGCTCCTTATGCGAAGAGCCCCGTCACACTGCGTCTCGTAGGAGGCAAGCCGATTTCTCAGCTTTACATCGATATGACTATTGCGATGATGGCGTCCTTCGGTATCGATGTCGAGGTCTCTTCTGCAGAGCCCAACACCTACCATATCCCCAAGGGTACTTACAAGAACCCTGCCGAGTATACGATCGAGAGTGACGCAAGCTCGGCGACTTACCCTCTGGCGGTCGCTGCCATCACTGGCACAAAATGCACGATCCCCAACATTGGCTCAAAGTCTCTGCAGGGTGATGCTCGCTTTGCCGTCGATGTGTTGCGACCTATGGGTTGCTCTGTTGAGCAATCTGACTACTCCACAACTGTCACAGGCCCAGCTCCTGGTCATCTCAAGGCTTTGGCCCATGTCGACATGGAACCGATGACCGATGCGTTCCTCACGGCATCAGTCTTGGCCGCCGTGGCTTCTGGCACGACCCAAATTACAGGCATTGCGAATCAGCGGGTTAAGGAGTGCAATCGTATTGCCGCTATGAAAGACCAGCTCGCAAAGTTTGGTGTACAATGCAACGAGCTTGACGATGGTATCGAAGTGATCGGAAAGGGTCAAGATGGTGGTGTCTCGACACCAGAGGTTGGCATCCATTGCTACGACGACCATCGTGTTGCGATGAGCTTCAGTGTTCTGGCCGTTGCTTCACCGGGCCCCGTCATCATCACTGAGAGAGAATGTGTTGGCAAAACATGGCCTGGATGGTGGGACATCCTATCCCAAGTCTTCAAGGTTGATATGGTTGGTCATGAGTCAGATGCTGACGTCCACGACGAAGAGGTTGAAGAAAAGACATTGGAAAGCTCCGTCTTCATCATTGGTATGAGAGGTGCTGGTAAGACCACTGCTGGTAACTGGATGGCTAAGATTCTTGGCTGGAAATTCATCGACCTGGATCAGGAGCTCGAGAGGAGAGCGGGATGTACCATCCCCGAAATGATCAGGGGTGACCGTGGATGGGATGGTTTCCGCAAGGACGAGCTGGCTCTGTTGCAAGACGTTATGGAGAAGAACAAGACCGGGCACGTCTTTTCGTGCGGTGGTGGTCTTGTGGAAACCCCTGAGGCTAGGGAACTTCTCAAGAACTACGGGGCAAATGGCGGCAATGTGCTGTTGGTTCATCGTGACACCGATCAAGTGGTTGAGTATCTCAACCGGGATAAGACTCGCCCAGCTTACACAAGCGAGATCCTACAGGTCTACCTACGTCGCAAGGACTTTTACAACGAGTGCAGTACCCACCTGTACTACAGCCCGCATTCCGAGTCATCTGGCCGTCAAAGTCACATCCCTCATGATTTCCAGCAATTTGTCCATTCTATCGCAGGCAAAAACACTCACTTCAAGGACGTCTTGAACAAGGACCATAGCTTCTTTGTGTCTTTGACTGTGCCTGATGTGGATCAAGCTGTTGATCTTCTACCAGAGGTTGTGGTTGGCTCCGATGCCGTCGAACTCCGAGTAGATCTCCTCCAAGACCGTTCAATAGACTCTGTTACCCGTCAAATTTCGACTCTTCGAGCGTCCGCAAAGAAACCTATTGTTTTCACTTTGCGAACTGAGTCACAAGGAGGAAAGTTCCCTGATACTGCTTACGAGGAGGGTCTTGAACTCTACCGCCTGGCCGTGCGAATGGGAATGGAGTACATTGATGTTGAAATGACTCTCCCAGACGATATCATCAAGGCTGTAACAGAGTCCCGTGGCCGTTCACGCATCATTGCCTCGCACCATGACCCCAAGGGCACCATGTCATGGAAGAATGCCTCTTGGATTCAGTACTACAACCGTGCCTTACAATACGGTGACATTATTAAGCTTGTCGGTATTGCTCGTACTCCTGAGGATAACTTCGATCTCGCCAGGTTCAAGGCCAGAATGCAGGAAGCGCAGAAGACACCCATGATTTCCATGAACATGGGCAAAGCAGGCAAGTTGAGCCGCGTTCTCAACGGCTTCCTGACACCTGTATCGCACCCAGCTCTTCCCTTCAAGGCTGCACCTGGGCAAATGTCTGCGGCTGAGATCCGTCAAGCTCTGGCATTACTGGGCGACTTGGAACCTCACAACTTTTACTTGTTCGGAAAGCCAATCTCAGCTTCACGATCACCTCCTCTTCACAACACTCTGTTCAGGCAGACTGGTCTGCCTCATCAGTATCACCGTCTTGAAACTGACAATATTGAGAACGTTTGTGATGTCCTCAAGTCTCCTGATTTTGGCGGCGCCTCAGTGACCATTCCTCTCAAGCTGGACATCATGGACAAACTCGATGAGCTCTCGGACGCAGCCCGCACCATTGGAGCTGTTAACACCGTGGTGCCATTCGGTAAGCCCGACGTTGACGGGCGTCGACGTCTCCTAGGCGACAACACCGACTGGAGGGGTATGGTTCACGCTCTCCGCCACGCTGGTATTGAGGGACAAGACACAGACAACAAGGGAGCGGCCATGGTGGTAGGCTCAGGGGGTACCACCCGAGCTGCTATTTTTGCGCTTCACTCATTAGGATTCGGGCCAATCTACATTGCCGCTCGCAATCAGGATAAGGCGGATGCTATTGCTGCCGACTTCCCAAAGGAGTATCAGCTTGAAGGTATCAGTCAGGCTTCAGGTGCCGAGAAGGTGTCAGAACACTTGAAGGTTGTCATTAGCACTATTCCCGCTGATCGGCCCATTGACCCAACTCTACAAGAGCTAGTTGCTATCGTTCTTGGCAGGCCAGCTCCTGATGGGGAGCGTAGGGTTCTCCTTGAGATGGCATACAAGCCTAGCCACACCCCAATTATGCAGCTGGCAGATGAAGCAGGCAACTGGACTACAATCCCAGGTCTCGAGGTGCTTTCATCTCAGGGCTGGTACCAGGTAAGCAAATCGTCATAGTTCTCAGCAAGTTTCACGCAACTAATCTTCTCGTTTTAGTTTGAGTTATGGACAGGCATTACCCCACTGTACAAGGACGCCCGTGCGGCTGTCCTAGGCGAGTAAGGATTTCTGCTTGTCGATGACGACGTAAGGATATATCAAATTTACAAACGAACGCTTTCCATCTAAATCGGACCACCTATACTCAGAGTGGACGAAAAATGACGGCGTTGTTGGTGGGGAAAAGGGAACCCGGCTTTGGTAGGATAGAAAGAAATTGAGACACTACATATGTCAAACTGTTCACAAAAAAAAATTGTTGGTCGGTACGACGTCGTACGGCCTGAAATTGCTGCATTTGGAAAAGCTAGAGCGGGGGACCAAATCTCCCAGCAGTGACGTTATTCAGACTATGCCGTGCCGCGAAGGAACATGTCGACCCCTCCCAGCCCTACCTAAATTTGTATATGTGCCTATGCATTGCGTCAAGGGTGGGGAAAACACTGTAGTCCATGAAACCCATTTGCACAACGCAAAACGAAACCTGCATTGAGCATCTTTCGTCATGTAAACAATGCAGTAATCGTACGAGGTGTGCTGTACCTGTGCATATGAATCCTCAAGCGAACCTGTACAGTACAGATAGCGTGCATTACAGAAACGACTGAGGGACGAAGCAAACAGAGAGTATCCGTTGTCATCCATGGTATCACAGTAAACGACTAGTCAACACGAAATGTTGTAGACCCAATGCAAAATGCAAACGAGATTATCTTCCAACGACGTCAGAAGGGGTGCGATATCATTCTCTCTTGTAACTTGTGTCAACCTACTTACATCATGTCTCAGTCTCCTTGCAACGATGTATACTATGGGACGTGAGAGCTATGATGTTGATCAGCAGTCGAGCTTTCAGCTCAATTCCATCATCGGTGCATATCAATGATCGTTTAGCATGGGTCAGATCTGCGATGTTAGCGTCAACCGTTAAACAGCCTCTTAGATAGATTGCTACACATATTTATGGGGGAGATTACTATGCTACCAATGACAACACCACTTGCATCATCGCAATGAAACAACAAAAATGATTGGCGCACTTAAAATCAGAATGGCATATCCGTCACAGATGGACCCTTGGTTTTCTTGTTATATCATATTTTTAATGGTAAATTATGTAATTACATATTAGAGATCTGTTATTAAACTACGAAGGTCAATGAGTTACTACTGGCCATTTCACGAGACGGGCTCAACTAAATTTTAACAACACAAGTAGACTGGAAAGTTATGGTAGTACCAAAATGATATAATCATAATATTCGTTATCAAAATACAACGCTATATAGTCAACCGTAACGCTTCTTTTTATCTAGACCATATTCCGTTTTCTCAAGTCTTTCCCAATATTCAGACGATAATATCCTGGCCAGCCAGACATCCTCGATAAACAGTTTATAACCGCTCATAATATGTAAAGAATCAATGATTCGTAATGTACAGGGCAAGCAGTACGGGTGTTGATCCGTTATCTTCCATCCGCTTCGATTGGACGCCGAACAAAAAAAGAGAATTAAAACCAGGGTAGAAGTACACGGTACATTAGGTACAATAAGTACAAGATTTGTGGATGTATGTTGGCGAGTGGGTGGGTGAATGGGATGGCCAAGCGGTGCGTATCGTATCCATGACGGGCGCCATGTCATCATCAAGCAGTGTCAGGGAACGTCGGTGGTGGATGACTGAGACTTGGGCGGAGCCATGTGATGTCACAGTCATAATGAATGGATCGGTCGTGACGTCAGTCGAAAGGACCCTTACTGCAGGAAGGACCCTTGGGTCCACTTTTCCGCATTGGAGACCGGGGCTCTATCGTGTTGGGCTCTTAATTAGCCAACCCGATTTGAACGACTCGAAGCCTTGCGACGATCGCTCCACAAGCGCCAAGCCTTGTTTTGACGGTGGTCCACGTCATGCAGCATCATCCAACGCCGGATACAACTTCCGCCAATGAACCCACCAGTCAGTAATCTGGTAACTTGAAGTCGTCTTCAGGGGTAGCATCGTGGGGGAGGTATCGAGTGCAGCTATGCTTGTTCAGGCACTAAACAGCTCAAGCACCTCCACGACGTCTGTGCTTTCCCGGAAGCTCCATGTCCGGATGACACACCCGGTAGTGTCTGGTGAGGGCGTCTGCACGGCTGAATGTCTTCTCTTCAGTGCAGAGGTCACATCGCACCTTCTGCTTTCTAGCGTTGTGGATAGTATCCTCGTGGCGGGTAAGGTCGTATGGCCGAGAGAAAACAGTGTTGCAGGGCTTGCCAGTGCTTGGGTTGATTCGATCACAGCGATGAGGACCAGCTTGACTGTTCAACAATGAAGTTGTCATGCTAATATCTCGAGGGCGAGCAGGACCCATTGTCTGTGTCTGACGGTGACCTTCTCGCTTGTGCTTCTGAAGCTGTGCTGGTGTGTCGAATCGTAGAGTGCAGCCGTGATATGTGCAAGTGTAAGTGCCACCATCGGCAGCGGTGTTGATAGGGCGGGTTGCTGGAGTGGCGTTGCGGGACCCGTTTGAACTTGAACCAGTTGAACTCAGACGAGGAGGGCTATCATGGCTGATTCGTGTCGGGTGTGCGATGAATGGGTATTGCTGTGGCACTGTAATACCAGGAGCTCCGTGAGGTGGAAGAAAGTTGAATTGATGTTGAGCATGTGTTTCGGGAACTGACTCCTGCGAACTCATCATAGCCTTGGGAAACTGGTCCATACCAAATCCATCCTGGGGGAAGAGAGGGAAGTTGTTGTCGCCCTCAGACTCGTTAAACTCCAGGATAGCATCCTTGGGAGAGATGGTCTTTGGTGTCTCGGGCTCCTGCTTCATGTTCATCTGCTGTTGAATGAACTGGGCGTCTTGCTGAGCCTTGGTTTGCTCTCGAATGCGCTGAGCGCTGTTGAATGGCATGTTTTGGTTAAGGTTGGGGTTTCCGAAATCGTGGGCCGGTGATGGTGCCAGAGGTGATCCTGTGCGGAACGGTGATCTATCCCGTGAAGTGCTGGAGGCTGGTGAATGGGCAGCGCTGAGATGCTGGTTGTTGGCTGCATGAAGTCGCTGGTTAAAAACGTCGTTTGTGGGTGACACTGAGACTTGAGCCTGAGAGGGAGGAGGCGTAGATGTGACGGCGAAGTTGGGGCTGTAAAGTTCATCGCCATAGATATCCGTCATAGTTCTGTCGAGCTTTGGGGCATTTGGAAAGCCTAGACGATCAAATTGTGAGTCCTTGCTTGCAATTGATGAGTAATAAAGGTTATTACCTTTTCTTCTTCTCTCTGTGACATCTGTTTCACCAACTGTAGGCGTGGCAGGTGAGTCACCTGCGATGGAACTCGCCACCGAGGCAGGATGAGAACGGGTAGAGCCACCGAGATATTCAGGAGCATGCATGAGTCCTCGGTCCATTCTGGGCTTGCCATTAGGTCCAGGAAGTGTAACCGGATAGTTCATGTCAGGCATGGCGTGCTGTTCCATTCCTCCACAATTTTGATATGCTGCATACGAAGGCATTGACTTGGCTAGTTGATAGTGTGATGATGAATTGCCTTGGTCGTTGGCGTCTGTGATGGCGATGAATGGGCCGGGTATGTTGTGGTTGTTGAAAGGAGAAGTAGGTCCTGCAGTAGAAGATCCAAGCGATGACAAGGAGGTTTCACGCTGGTGAGCGGCGCGAGACCTTGGAGTCTGCTGGGCGAGTCCCCAGTTTTCGTTAGGCATGAGCTCGGTAGGTAATTGCTGGCTCAGAGCAGCAATCTCAGCGTCGTAATTCGATCTTGGAATATCCGAGTAAGAAGCAGCGTTGTATTCGGCGTGACAATTTTGGGCGAAAGGATACTGCTGCTGAGAGTTGGAAGAGTTGTTCTGAAGATGTTGTTGGAGTTGAAATTGTTGCTGGTGTAGGCGGGGAATCGATAACATGGTGAAGTGTAAAGACAAATTGTGTGTTTAAGGTTGACAAGAAAGTGGCAAAAGGCGGGAAGGCTCGTCTTTATAAAGCAAGGGACCTTTCGAACAAACTACCTGGAGTCTGTAGATGGAAACCAAAAGACAAATGATGGATCCCCTTCCTTGGCCGATAGTCTTGTACAGTACCTGTAGTACAAGCAATCGTAGGTGCACCCCCTCCGGCTCATTCGAGACTAAGAAGACCCTGGACCCACTCAATGATGTACAGAGCAGGGTCAAGGCTGGGATTGTATAAGCATGACTGGCTGGCCTAGACTCGGATATGGGCCAGAAAAAGAAACAAGCGTACCGGAGCATGTACCTCTGCGTAGGGGGTTTAACCTAAACAGATCTTGGAAAGAAGGTGGGGTGTGCAGTGATGTCTCAGTGGATGTGGTATGTAAAAGTCGTCAGGTTGCGAAACTACCTACCTAATGGTGTGTGGACGTTTTCTTCGTTTTTTCCCCTCCTACCCGGCTACATGCTACATGCTACCATTAATGCGCTACGTAGTGTCCTTTTCCTGATGAATGATGGCTGATTGATGATGGATGATGCTGATGATGTCTGGGATCCCCATTCGATATGACTATCGTCACTGATCTTCTCGATGCTTCAGGTAGCTTCCGGGTACTTCTCCAAGCAAAATGTTGCATTTTCCTTACTGCATTACTTAATTATGCTGTGCCTTTTTCAAGATGTATTGATTTCCAATACATTACTTAATTCGCAAGACGAGGACATCGACTGCAATACACGAAGCGCGAGCCTTGGTTGTCGGGTCCGAGGTTCCCTCCCACAAGCCCTCCTGCGCCAGACAAGCCCGCCCGTTCAGTACCTTACCTATTGCATACCATGCCGTTCCTAGCAGATAACAAGGGTGCAATACGTATCATTTAGGTTTTCCCAACGTCAAGCCCAGGTCTCAGTGGAAGGACCAAGTCCAGCTTGGGTGGTAGCTGCAGGGCTCTGACGCCAATAGGGGCCCATCAGCGACGGTGCCCAATAGGCTATCCCAATGCCTTTGACCTCTGACGCTGTAGAGGAAAATCTTAGCCTGCCCCAGCATACTCAAGTTTTTCCAGGCTTGTTGAGCGGTTCCACTGACGTAGTCTAGCCCCGCCGATCCTTTCGCTATCATCGCTCACTTTCATACCGACGTAGCTGCGTTTCCTTCCATGGCAGTTTCAATTTCGGCAACGGCACAGCCACATATCATGCTTTGTAATCGAGTTTCTGCGCCACTTCGATTTTTCCGCCACACTCTATCTGAGTCTATCTCGGTCTACATGCACGGAACTACGGACATACTCCAAATTTGTCATCACATGATGAGTCTTCGTCGTGGGTCACATGAGACTCGTTGTCGTATGTCAATACATCAAGATGTACTGTACATACGATGAAGCCAAGTAAACCAAGATGAGCTGCCTGTTCTCGATCAGTCTAGTGAGCACGAACCAAGAGTTAATAGTGGGAGAGAAACTTATTCGATCTACTCATCGCATGACACGCCAGATGGGGTGACAAGGCACGTGTTTATTTCTCTACTTGTTTCTGAACTGCCAGTTCAGCACCTCGCATGTCTTTTTCCGACAACTACCACCCACTACGGGAAAAGTCTGCAAAAAGGGTAAAGTCAGGGAGTCAATGAGAAAAAAACTCTTCAACTTACAGCTATCAAAGGGATATACATTGCTGTACAATTAGACTTGCGACGCAGGAACCCACCCTAGTTGCATTTTACTCATAGCACACCCTACCAAGCAAATCAAGAAGCATCGTGGTAGGACAAACGACAAATCTCGAGCTGCCAGAGTGACAGCGTTCTCGGCCTGACCGACCCGCTACAGCTAACCGTACCAGTTGCCGGGTTCTATCGGACTTGGTAACGCAACCAATCATATGTGTGGCGCGTCAACCCGCTAAGCCACAATTACAGAGTGCACCCTGGTCCTTTCCATTTTTAAGTTGGCTAGATCGATCTTTTACCCACAACAGAAGCTCGCTGTCTTGTGTTTCTCCGCGTGAGTAGAGTACAGCGACGGACCACCCGAGAAGCAGTTTAGTTGATAGTCGTGTTTCAACGGGTTATCGGACAAGATTTCTCAATATGGATAGGAAGAGGGAGCTTTCGTTGCGTCTAGCCCTTGATTGATGAACAGATGCATGCATACAGGTATGGGTGATCATCCGGCTGCTTGGTATCAGCACAAACCGTCTATAATTCAAGAGATAGACACACCTCATCCCCGTAATAATGTTTAGAAATCCACTCGCATTCGGGCTGAGTTGATGAATTAGGCTGGGGTGACTCATTCATACTGTACAGCGAAGCTGATGAATCACTCCTTCGGTATTCCACTGTGCCAGGGTTGGACGGAGGTTCACGCAATGCTTGACATGCTACCTCCGTATGTACAGGAATCTCGATTTGCCGGTCCGAGAGCACGGTTTTGAGATCGCTTCGGATTTCGTTTATGCACACTGGCAGTACTTTACGTGCGAACTAGGCACTCTTGATTCAACTCCGCGGGTAAGGCTGGAGACCAATGGACCCGCAACGGCTACGGCTCCAGCCGGACGATCCGCCACTTTTTGTTCTTTTGAGCCAGAGTCCAAGCTGTCTTGAGACGTCTGGTCTAATTCCATCTATCAATGAGGCAGATCCACGGGGCGAATCTCTTTAGTGTTTGGCCTGTGAACTTCTGGGGTGCCAAGTAAAAATTCCAATTGGTATATCTTTGAGCTTATCAAGGATAGAAAGATACGCTGTATGAGAATCTTTGCCAGTTTCAGAGCATTAACTGCACAGCCACAGCTCGCGATGTATATACGGCTTTCGACCACTTCTTTCCATCACATGACAAGTCTATGTTACGTGACATGACATTTAATTGACGGGACGCCGGTACGGCGTCTGGAAACCTGGGTACTATACTCAAAAATGTGTAGAGACTATCCTGGATGCCTAGTACCCAAGACTCCCCGTGCCAGAGTGCTGGGTATCATCTCCAGAGTCCGAGCTTCCCTACAACGTTCCATCTTTCACCCCCAGAACCACTCCGAGCCTTAGTTGTCCTCATTCCATCTAAAGATTATGTGAGCATATATCAGCATCAGAAAACGAGATGTACTCACCTGTGATCGCATTTCTCACAATAGTGAAACGATGTCGTTCCCTCATCGGCACTTCTAAGCTGGAGGGCAGTGTAACGCACCTCTTGCGCGTCACATTTTAAGTTTGTGCACTCCTCGGCTATCGTGCACCAGGTATCTAGTGAGGATATCTTTTCGGCATGTTGAACCATGGCGTTTTGCACACTCCGGCAGGATCCTTCACCATGGAGACGCTGACGGTGCCTATCAAAGTGTCTGGGACGAGACAGTTCTTTAGTGACGTGTGCAAGACGGAGCGATGATGGATACGAACTCTTGCTCACCACCCCGCAACAGTCGCACTCGACCTCCGGGTTCTGTGTTTTTGGGAGTAAGATCCCACAGGGGCTACAAAATTGCATAGGCATGGTTCTCTGATTGGTGTTATTCAGTTGGGCAAGGTAATGTTGGATGAGAATGGAAAGTCAAGTAAGTCAGCGTATATTTTAGCAGCTACAGTATGTGTCACAGAATTTCTATCTTGATTAAGTACGGTTTCTGTGTGAAACCTCCATCATCGTAGAGTTAGAATTGCGCTGTCAAATCTTGCTTGGTATTATCGTCAATTAACTGGATCTCCCACAAGCCAAAAAGTCAATCAGGTTAACACAGCAAAAGTCACAAAACAAGTGAATTTACCCAAACTGAACACGTCTTCTGATTTTTTTTAACCATGAAACCCTCGTGTACTGGCTTGGTGTATCGCCAGTCCCCAACTGTTTCTGATATGGATTTGACGTTTTGTATAAAGCGATACTACAGACTGGAAAGTCAACCACTAATCCTAAGTGCACAATAATGAACAACCTAATGTTCTACTCTAAATTGGCATAACTTATCTAATTACTACTTGGATCTCTCATTCTTCTAGCAGTCAACTTTTGATGATATAACGAGAGCACTCAGGTTGTATAAGTTGTGTAAGCAGCCACAATCAATTCGACTCTAGCTGCAAGGCTGGACAGGGCTGTTGAATTCCGACCGAAGAGCGAGACATTTCCCGAGCATAAATCGCATGTTCCACACTAGGGGATTGAAAACTTCCATGCATTAGTTCTCACCGTTCCATCCTACTCTATCTGACCTTCCCCCGATGTGGCTTGAATTTACTACTCTTTGTTGGGGCATAGATCTCGTTTCCAGATTTCAGCTTTTCCGGTTCGGCCTCGCCGTGTGTGGGGGGTTTGTTTAGTGTTGTACCGCATTCAAGTTTATAGCGCTATACCTAAAGGATATGCAAAACGGCAGTGACAAATCCACTGCCGGCTGCAACGGTCGGGCTATGCATTCCCGGCTAACACCATTATTTCCGTCGCTCTCGGGTTTTGAGCGTTGTCCGAGTCTATCCCTCGCTTTCTCTTTTGGCAGGAATTGGTAATCAGTCGCATTCGCATGATTTCCACGGACACAGCCTTCTGGTCAGATTTTTGTTTTCAAGGCTTGGCAAATATTTGTAGCGATGTACAGTACGGGCAGAGTACGCCGATGGAGATTCAACTGACCCCGGATCTCAAATGTGGCAACCTCTAATTTTAGCTTGCTTCCACGTGGTCCAGGCCCGACGATCGTTTGATCTCGCCACCCGTAGGCTCCGTTACCCGACAGATTCGGCCGATTGACAAGTATCGCTAATGTCGACATTCAGATAAGCAAGGATGAGCCTCTCTAATCGTTGAGGTATGCAATCTCAGGTTTATCGACAACGACCAGGGCAATCAATGAGTTCTTGATTCAGCCTTTCTGCCAAGATCTCGTATTTCTCCCTTGTTGAATTGGGCCGGTCCAGAATTGTAATGTTCAGTCATCTGTGAATATGGCTAAGGTAGTCACGCGGCTCAGGCTGATAGATCTAAGCCCATTTACTAATTCCAACGGATGTATCCAGTAACTCGGTATATGTGACTCATCCATTGAGTGGCGCAATGCTGATTGAAGCGAGTGCGACGTCTCCCAGTAGAGTTAACAGCTTGGTCCATGACATGCTCTAGGGTAGGTTTTTTGGACCAAGCTGTCCCATTACGAAGCCAATAGAAAGTTGCACCGTATGCTTCTCGACATAATTCTATTGGACATAATTCTGTTCTTGACTTGATATCAGGGATCTTGTCTTACGAACCGTTTCGGGCAGCTTGGTCGTTCTCATCATGTGAGCAATGACCAAGTAATGACAAAACCAAAAGGACATGCCAACGGACGCTTCGTATGCTGACATATTTGGGTTTGGAATCACGATCTGACTGCAAAACAACTCGGGTTCAAGTTGGACATTAAAGCCCATTCGATTGACGCAAAACCCTGGGAACTTTTGCATCATGATGCCTGTAAGATCATCACCAACGTTCTGTCACAAACCCATCCAGTCAAGATTCAACACTTTTACTCCAGCTATACCTGGGACCATAGCTGTCCACACGCGTGCATCAACGACGATGCATATACATAAACTTATACATTACAGTAGCACCATGTCACTTGCACTATCACAGTCCGCAAACGTCCCAGCCGGTTCTTCTTAGCTCGCCAGTTTGACTTCAAACCTAAATGGATACACTGCGGGCCATAACATATACAGCGCGTGGCATGACGCGTTACCGCACAGCGGGGATGCGACGCGCTTGAGATCACTAGCAATACACATTTGACCACATGGTACGGAGGCAAACACATCTACAGTATTATCATTTGCATTTAGTCACGCCGGTTGGCTATCATGGTGATCAATATCGCCTCGAGGGCATTTTCGATTATCCCCGAATGTAATCCCCCAAATCCCTTATGGTACAAAACACCCAAAAACAATAACCGGACCCATATGTCATCATGAAACACCCTACAAGGTCCTGCGCAGCAAGCAGTCGACCGCAAAGATTCGTAACAGGCATGTAAAACAAAAAGCGCTTAACCACCGAAACCGTAGAGGGTACGTCCCTGTCGCTTCAGGGCGTAGACAACGTCGAGAGATGTGACGGTCTTTCGCTTGGCGTGCTCGGTGTAGGTGACGGCGTCACGGATGACACCCTCAAGGAAGGTCTTCAGGACACCACGGGTCTCCTCATAGATCACTGCGTAATTGGTTAGATACTGCTTGGTGTGCGTTTCAGAGTGAACTTACTGGCAGAGATACGCTTGACACCACCACGACGAGCGAGACGTCGGATAGCGGGCTTTGTGATACCCTGGATGTTGTCTCGCAAGATCTTTCGGTGACGCTTGGCACCGCCCTTGCCGAGACCCTTTCCGCCCTTGCCGCCTGTCGATGGGTTAGTATTGATGTCATTGTAGATGTGTGCGAAGCGCGTTGTTGGACGCGTCGGTGTGTGATGCGCATGCTTAGGGGCGATGCGGTGGGAAGACAAGGCTACTTACGTCCAGTCATGTTGATGGTTTGAGGTGTGAAAGTTGTGGATAGAGATATACACGCTAGGTGTATACTGTAGTTTGATGGGTATAGAGTCGTGGGATGGAAGTGATGAAGTATGAGGTGTAGAAGTGAAGGGTGGGAGTGCGAGAGCTTAAGTACGAGCGGGCCAGATTCGTGATCAGTTGGGAAGACCCACTCTGTGATCTTGATCCCTGCTTGTGAGACGCGATGAGTGACGCGAAAATCGGCGCGGGCGAATTAAAAATTCGGACTGCGTTGATTTTCAAAAGCGGGGTGGTCTTCAGCAACAGGGTCATCCACCAACAGCGCTAGAGTTACCCATGGACGCCTTATTGATGGGTAAGTTTCACTGGGCCTCAACTTGCTGGTTCAGGGTAGATGATGCATTTTGTTGCATGATATGTGAATGTTTGTGACCAGGTACTACATGGACAGTATGTAAATGAATTAATGACAATGAGAGTTCATTACTCATGCTCTGTAGTGTCTTTGTTTTCTTTGTGACTCATATGTTTATGTGCTGTTGTGGTGACTTATGATAAAAGCAGCTGAAAGTGAAGATATTGACAATGAAATATCAAACATATGAAACGACATTAATAGACTCAAACGTATAACAAAGTTAGAGTATCCAGAATAAATATCAGTGCACCATCTTTAGCAGACACGGTAAAGCATAGATATTTTTTATTATTAAATTTTTTAGATTAAAACGGTAAATAACATAGGTCTAGACTATAGTGACAAGGCACAACAAGAGCAATAAAGAATCCATAGAGAAACCCCAACCGACTGACTCAGTCGATACCAAGTGTATGCAGCCCAACCCAGAGGCAATAAACTACAACTACGTACTATGCAGACGGATACAGGCATGCTCCAGCTACTCAGATAGTGTCGTACTGTAAACGTTCCCCAGAATCTGGTCCGTTTCCCCGGGATGTTCTTTTGCCTCAGTTACCAAGTGCCGCACCCGTGAGCGTTGCCTATCTAACCTTACTGTGGTTACTCACCAAATTCGCCATTGGTTGCCTTGCAGAAACAGATCAGATCAAAAAGGCTGGGCCACAAAGCGTGGAGCATTCCAGCTGCGTGGAGGAATTTCGAGCCAATGGAAATTCAGTACGCAAGATGGTTTTTTTTGCACAACTAAAGCCTGCATTTTAGGCTTGGGTCCATTTTTCCATTTTCGGTGGGTGATTAGGAAAAACGCACTCCAATCAGCGCGCACGGTCCACAGGAAGTCAGATCAGCCGCCGCCTAATGCCACAGGTATAAAGGATTCCCCCCGCCTGCTCCCTCTCTCAACTTTCCTTTCTGCATCACACACCCACTTCAGCCTTCCACCCCCACAACCATCAACACAACAACAACAACTTTCTACATCATATCAATCATCAACAATGGCTCGCACTAAGCAAACCGCCCGCAAGTCCACTGGTGGCAAGGCCCCTCGCAAGCAGCTCGCTTCCAAGGCTGGTAAGTCTTCACCGCGACTTGACGCGACACGCGTCTTTAATTATCATCAAGAGCATCATCGCTAACATATTCATCAGCCCGCAAGTCCGCCCCCTCTACCGGTGGTGTCAAGAAGCCTCACCGCTACAAGCCCGGTACCGTCGCTCTCCGTGAGATTCGACGATACCAGAAGTCCACTGAGCTTCTCATCCGAAAGCTCCCCTTCCAGCGTCTCGTAAGCATCACTCACATATCTCATCATCGCTTGGCATCAACTAACATTCAATCAACAGGTCCGTGAGATTGCCCAGGACTTCAAGTCTGATCTCCGATTCCAGTCCTCCGCCATCGGTGCTCTCCAGGAGTCCGTTGAGTCCTACCTTGTCTCTCTCTTCGAGGACACCAACCTCTGCGCCATCCACGCCAAGCGTGTCACCATTCAGAGCAAGGATATCCAGCTTGCCCGCCGCCTCCGAGGCGAGCGCAACTAAGCGCTTGGGGTGATGGAAGGATAACGAATTTTTTGCTTTGACACGAGGGAATATCATGGTTATGGGGATAATCAAGGCGTTCACTAGGAACATGTTTTATACACAGGCTTGTACACTAAATGGCAAGCGAGTTTAGCTGCCCTTTCACAATCGACCAAAAGGTCTTTCATCGTTATATCTTGTTCCTTGTATGACTCGCCACCGACAAAAAAATTAAGTAGTTTAATCGCCATCGCGCGCACACTTCAGTAAATCGTGACCATCGCATTAAGAGTAAACGCACGCGCCTTGCTCGTGCATTTCATTAGCAAATGTTCCACCAGTCTGATTTGAGACGTATGAGTGTGACTCGTGCCTGGTAGATTCCTTGGTGGCAAAATGTCTGTGTAGTACGAACGCTCAAGGAAGATGAACATGCGCCATCGATTGCTTGGAAAAGAAGTGCACGAGAACGACACGACGAATGTCGCACGTTGATCAGTCATGTTGTAGGGAAGCGACCACGGCAATTATCATCAATATAACATTGGTTGTTTTTTTAATTATAGAAAGAAACATTAAATACACAATCAAATTCGTTGCATCTAATCTTTTTATAAACCGTATTACGCCAGAGAATCAACATGATATGTAGGAAGCTGCGCCAAAACATCGAAACCACCAGTGCCAACCTTTCCAAGTCTGCCCATCACCAACCGACCGCTAGGTGTAGAGAGATCATCCCAGTCACCATCCAACACAGCATCCTTGAGGAATCCCAATGTCGTCTCGAAACTCATCTTGGTAAACGGACTGACGTTGCCCTTGAGACCCATTCGGTTGAATGGTGTGAAACCACCGTTCCTTGTCATGTGGTCACCGATCAGGTTCAAGTGGCGGTTGTCGACCTTGATGCCGTGAGAGCCGAAGACGCCAGCCAGCTCCTGCACAATGTTCTGTCGAGCTGCCTCGACACCGTAAACCTCCAAGACAGCTGCGATGTCGTTGGTCTGGATACGATTGGGGTCGATGAAATCGCTGTATCGCTGCATAGCCTGCAAGTTGACACCTTCTGTGTGGATGACTCTGATCGTCTTATTGTCCTTTTTCTCCTCATGGAAGTCGCAGGATCTGACACCAGAGATCTCTTGGATCACGGTCTTCTTGACAGCATCTTGGACAAGGTTGAGCATAAGGATTTTGGGAATGGCCGAGTCAAACTCAAGTGTGAAGCTGCAGTCGATTCCATTCTTCTCATTGAATGTGAAATCCGTGACCTCATCGTATTGCTCAAGAACACGGTCGGTTCGCATCTTGGCACCCCAGTTGACGGCACCGCTGTCCTCCTCATCCTCTTCGTCGCCCGCCTGCCTTTGGCTACCGCCGAAGCCCTCATCATCAAGGTCAGCATCAGCAGCGTCGCGGCTCATCTCCTCTTGTACGGCATCATCATCATCGTCATTAGGACCATACGACACTGCCTCGCTCCTGTTGGCTCGCTGCTTGGCATTTGTCGCGTCATCGTCGCCTTCTTCATCGTCGTCCTCGTCGAAATTGCCGGCAGCCTCGGCGTTAGGAGCAGCTGTCTCCACAACACCAGCCTTCACACCAATCTCGGGAGTGGCCATTGTAGAATGGGTTTGTCGCTTCTTGATATCCCTCTTCACAAGGGACAGCAATCGGTGTAGGAGCTTCTTCTCCACTGCATTAACAACGTCTGAAATTTTGATGGCATAAGTCTCGGTGTACTCCTTTGAGTCAAAGAACTTGAGGTCGATCGAATAGATCTTGGCTGAGCCATAAAGCTTGCCTTGGCCAACCTTCTCTTCGACATGGATACTGTCGAGAATGTAGCCAAGAGGCAATACTGAGATGGACTTGGCAAAGATCTTCGCATCCTCCACGGACATCTCCTCAATAGGGTAAATCGACATGGCTGGGGTGGAAATCTTGTCGCTAGCGGTCATGAGAATTTCTCGTAGTCGAGGAATACCGAGTGTGACGTTCTTGGCAGAGTGACCAGCCAAATGGAAAGTGTTTAGTGTCATCTGTGTCGAAGGCTCTCCAACAGATTGGCCTGCCACGATACCGACCGCTTCTCCAGGCTCGACGAGAGAGCGCAGGTATTTCATTGCAAAAAGCATCTCCGCGTTCTTCTTGTTCAGACTCACGCGCGAGAGCGCCTGTTTGTTCTTGTCAGACTTGTCACGGACAAGGCCATCCTTGTTCTCCTTGAGATATTTGGTCATTTCCCAGAAAAATTTCTCAGAAGTAGCGAATGCGGTGGTGGCGGGGTTAAAGTGATTCGAGATCGGGTCCTGAGTCTTGGGGTCATGGATGTTCTTCATGTACTTCAGGTCCTTAGCCTTGGGGTCATTGATATTGGTGTGCTTGAGAGCCTTCTTCATGTACTTGGTAATGGCCTCGCGATGCATTCCTAGGCGTTCTCCGACGCTGGGGTCGTATCGGAGCTGGGCAGCCTCCGAAGTGACATTCTCCAAGATAAAGCTGAAATCTTCCAAGTATTTTTGTTTGCAAGCATCAAGACCATCCTCGCCGTACAGGAACTGGATCATGGAGCCATCGGCGTCTCTTACGGTGGTATCGTAAGCGACAGTCAGGCCTTCCATACCCTTGATGACACATCTCTGCAGATAACCGGAACGTGATGTCTTGACAGCAGTATCAATCAGACCTTCTCGACCAGCCATATGATGGAAGTAGTACTCCTGAGGGCGAATACCTGTAAGGAAACGCTGTACAATGTAACCACCAGCTCGAGCATGAGTCTCAAATGGGCTGAAACAGGGCAACGACTTGCCGCTGACCATAATTGGAACACGGCGACCTTCCAAAACCTGCTGACCCAGGTTACAAGAAATCAGATTGGCATTGACTCTGGATCCCTTTGCACCAGAGGTTGTCATTGCTTGCATCTGATTGAAGGGGAAAGCCTTTTCCAGACCGTGTGGCATAGTAGCTTTTTCGATACCGTCTGTGACCTTACTGAGGCGTTCCTTCATCAGCATATCAAGGCCTTCCTGTTTCTTGTCGTCGCGCATTGCTTCTTCAAGACGCTCCAGAAGCAAAGGGTCGTTAGGACGAGTAGTTTCCGTAAGTGAAGTGTAGGTAGATGCAACCTCAATTCCTACATTGTCGGCAGGTTTGAGCGCTGCTCGTCGGGCTTGTTCACCCTTTCGTGTGAGTCTCAAATCGTCCATACCACATGAGAAAGCCCTCATGTTAAGGTATCTCGTGAGTAATCTTCCCAGGCTGCTAAGAAGCTTGCCCGCAACGGTAGGACCATAAATTTCATGAACAGCGTGAATGATACCGCCAGAGCTAGGACCGATTTGCGACTTGTCCAGAATTCCGGTGATGAACTCGCCATCCTGGAACAGTACAGTGCCTTCCTCAGAATCTTTACCCCACTGACTGGACTTGAGCTGCGTCTGAGACTTCATGCAAAGGCCACCGCAGTTGGGAGGCTGCATGTTCTTCAGGATGGTAGTGATGACTTGTTTTCCGGTCCACCTGGGAACAGGTCGGATTATGGCTGGAGCAACAAGCTCAATCCTCTCGCCGACGATGTGACCGCTTTCGGGTCGCAGTGCATTGTAGACCAACTGCTGGTAGTCGCCCTTGGTGAAAAAGGTATCGCGGTTACAGAGGCCAACGGAGACTGAAATATGATCCTGGATAAGACCTCGGAGAGGCTTTCCAGCTGTGCCAGAAAGATATTGGTGGTCGGTATCAGCAATTTGGAGAGCTTCTGCTCGAGCAACTTCGTTCTGGGGGAAATGCATATTCATTTCATCTCCATCGAAATCGGCGTTGTAGGTGTTACAGTTGGCGTAGTGCATGCGAATCGTTTTTTCACCTGGCAGGACACGAACTCTGTGACCCATGATAGACGGCTTGTGGAGTGTCGGCTGTCGGTTCATCAAGACGACATCACCGTTGGTAAGATGTCGGTAGACCTTCTTGTTCTTGGTGCGAGCAGCGTTGCTGCTTGTGGGAGCAAGGAGCTGATTAGCCAGAGACACACGGTCATCAACCGACTTGTTACGAAGGTTGACAATTTGGCCATTCTCGTTTTCGATCGCGAAAGCACCGGGCCATTTGTCAACACCATTAATAACTGCTTGTTGCATGTCTCGGAAGTTGTGGCTTGTGACAGGCTCAGGGTATGTCAACTTCTTCGCAAAAACGGGCGGCACACCGATTTCGTTGGTTTCGATGTTGGGATCGGGAGAAATAACACTTCGGGCGGCGTAGTTGACACGCTTACCCATCATGTTCTTTCGGAAGAGACCTTCCTTCTTTTCGAGCTTCTGCTTGATACCATCCTCATTGCGCTTCGCAGCAGCACCTTGAACGGGGTTCTTGTCCTTATCGATGAGTGAGTTGATCGACTCCTGTAGTTCCGTCCACGCCTGATGCAGCTGATTGACATCGGCATTCTCCTCCTTCAGTTGCTTGTGCAGTCGGGCGATTGTTCCGCAGCCTCGAAGGATGTTTTTGTAAAGAGAGTTTTGTTGGGCTTCAGAAATCTCGGACTCGCCTGTTCGGGCTTCGGGACGGTAGCGGTTGGGAGGAACTAAGATGGTCGTCAAAAAGAACATGTCGGGAGTGACCTTCTTTGAGCTTCTCGTTGCGGGTTTTGCGTTGTACACGAGTGAGATCAAGTCTTGCTCCTTAGTGAATAGCTCGCTCAGACGGGCGTGAACCTCCATGGCACTGATATATCGCTGTGAAGCAGAAAATGCCGGGGTTTCATCGACATCCATCATCTCTGTGTCTTGCTCGGCATCATCTCCGACAAGTTGCGACTTCTCAAGAGTGGGGGAAACGACATCTGCCACACCCTCGTCAGAGGAGTATCCGTCAAGTTTTTGTTTTGTTGTGGCCTGCTGCTGAACTCTGGACATGGCATCAGATTGCCTCAAGTTCTTTTGGGCCATCTTGGCCTTTTCCTTGTCGGATAGAGATCTCTCAAAGACCTTGACGAATCGATCCTTGCGGTATGAGGGTGAGATGCCGTTACAGTTGGCGCAAAGTCTTCGCTTGGTGATCTCTGCAAGGAATTCTTTAATGACCTCACGGCGCATTTCGCTTGAGCCTTCGTGCTTTCCTCTCTTCGCATCGCCGCGCTTAATCTTGACACCGCGAAGACACTTATCAACATACTTGTCTCTTGCGCGAGTCACGTTGTCGATCGAACTGCTGGCGCCTTCTTCTTCGGCTTCGCTCTCGAATTCAGAGAAGTTTCCGAGTTCGATAGCCAGGTCGTTTTCGCCAATAACGCCGACCATATGTGCTTCTTGGATCAAGCCATGTTGGAGAAGCTTAAGCTTGCACATATATTTGTGAAGCTCCTTTTGAGGAAGTCGGAATCCCTTGCAGTAGACACAAGTCGCCTTCAAGAGTCGATAAGCCTGGTCCATGAAGATGGGGTGATACACTGGGACGGGAAGCTGGATATGGCCGGGATGGCCGGGACAGGTGGCCTGGTTCAGATTACATGTTGTACACCTAAGATTTGGTTAGCCCTGTGTTGACCTTTGACTAGCGGCCATTGGAACTTACGGCGCATCGCCCCAGGATCCAAGAGCAGGATCATATAGACCACCAGGTACAGGATTGAGGAGATTGTCGAAGGTGCTGTCGTTTTCAATTCTCTTCACAGAGATTGCTCGGATTTCCTTTGGCGACAGGAAGGTGAATTCGACGCTCTCGACCCCGGACGAGATCGGCTGCGCGATATTCATGGTGGCGTTGATGTCGCTCTATCGAGCGAAAAGAATATTAGCGATTGAGCGACGTCTTGAGGTTAACTGATGAAATCCATTCCCCAGCGCAGTATGCGAAGTAAAAGTAAATCATGCAGGCAGTGGGGAGCTTTGCTAGAGAAACAATTTTTTGGCGGTGCGGGGCGGCAGAAATTTAGACCGACCCATTACCCGCCACTGTTGCGCGCGATTCGTCTGCACGCGGGTCCATGCGTTACTGCCTACCTATTTGCATCATCTTTGAGAGCCCATCTTATGTGCATCAACAAACTAGCGCAACGTGACCTTCGAGTACAGCGACAACCGGAAGAAACCCAGAGCGATTGTCTACGTCGATACGGACCCAAATAGAACCTCAGCACCCTTTTCGAGGATCGCGAACAGCTAGGCAGCTGTGCGATTATCTGGACAAACTGCAAATGGATCGCAACCAGTCTCCTGGCCTCGGCCCTCGTCATGATGCCTCATCAAGAGTGCAAAAGCCCGAATCTGCTGCAGACAGGATGGCTGCGCTAAAAGCACGTGTTTCCGCAGCTATCGGTACTAGCAAAGCAAAGGGTGGCTTGAAAGTTGGACTTCACCCTGCCTTGGAAGACTTGGGATCATATAACAAATCGAAGGAATCAACACCAGCACCCTCAGGCGTAAGATCAGATAAGCCTCGATCGCAAGATGCGTCTAGATCAGCTTCTATCAACAGGGAAAGCGGAGAAAACCCGTATTTCGACCCAAGCTCCTCAACACAACCAGGCGGAGGAAAAGCGCGCCAGTCTCGATCACTCGTGTTCAATCAGAAGGGCAAATATATAGCACAAGCCAATGCTTTACGTCGACAGGCCGCCCTGGAGGCGATGAAGAAACGAATCGCAGAGCAAACTCGAAAAGCCGGCATTGATGACGACCTAGACGTGGAAAGAAACTTTGTAGTGGAAGCACCCCCTGCAATCGAATGGTGGGACGAAGGACTTGTCGAAGGTGGAAGTTATGATGTGCTGGATGATCCCTCCAAGCTCAAACTCATGACACCCGACACTATCATCACCGAATACATACAGCACCCTGTTGCTCTTGAGCCGCCTCAAGATGGACTTTTTCCAGCTGCTAAGCCAATGTTCTTGGTAAAGAAGGAACGACAAAAGCTACGACGACAACGAAGAATGGCTGAGTTGAAGGAGATGCAAGCCAAGATTCGTCTGGGCCTGGTGCCAGCACCCCCTCCCAAGGTCAAAAAGGGCAACCTGATGCGAGTCCTTGGTGACGGTAAGTTTCTCACCCATCCTATTCATTTTATCCACCTGCTAATATCTGTGCAGTCGCTGTCAAGGATCCTACTGCCGTCGAAGCACGTGTGAACCGTGAAATTGCCGAACGCCACCACAAGCACGTCGAATCAAATGAGGCAAGGAAGCTCACCAAGGACCAAAAGCACGAGAAACTGGCGGCAAATCAACAAAAAGATGCCGAAAAGGGAATTCACATGCTCGTTTTCAAAATTGGAAGCCTGGCGAACGGACAACATCGATACAAGATTGGCGTCAACGCTGATCAACTGGCCCTCACAGGTACATGCATCATGCACCCCAAGTTCAACCTGGTTATCGTTGAGGGAGGCGAATGGGGTATCAAGAAGTTCAAGAAGCTCATGCTTAACCGAATCGACTGGACCGAGAATTCGCCGTCAAGAGATCGAGACGGAAAGCAAGGCGCAACACGCGACTGGCTCCTTGCTGAAAAGGAAACCGGCGAGCTCAAGGACATGTCGATGAATGAATGCAAGCTCATCTTCGAAGGCGAAGAGAAGGCTCGAGCATTTAGAAAGTGGGGCAGTAAGGTCTGCGAGACAGACTCGGAAGCGAGAGATGCCCTGGCTCGAACCAAGATGGACAACTTCTGGCAACTCGCTAAAGGTTTCGCTTAAAGCAAATCATACTGTATAATTAAGACCAGGGGAAAGGGTGAAAGAACCCATGTGTTGCGCTTAATACACCGGGCGGCAAACATCTGATACGCTTTGAGCCGACAACCGTTGCGAGACAGAAGCCCTGTCGCGACTGTGTTCCATGTTATTGCTTGAATACCAAAGACAGATATCATGATTTCCCCCTCCATGTTGGCGCTTCTCGGCGGAGACGGAAGCTTTTGCCGGTTTCAAGAGCCAACCTGCTTGTCAACTGAGGCAAGCCCATGATCATCGGACCATGTTGTTTGCTAAAAAGCGGCACTTCGATCAGGCTTCACTTACTTTGATGGGAAGGATAGAATGGATACTAGACTGATAGACATATCAATAATTACACCATCAACTCTTTCGTGCAAGTTTCGGCCAGATGCAGCGTTTTCAAGTTGGGACAAGCCTCAAGGCACGAAGCATTGGGCTCCGTCGTCCGCATAGCGTGAACAAGCCGCTAGGTATATAACTAACGACGTCCCAAGAATAGAATCAGAGACTGAATGTGCAACATAAACTCTGTTCCGAAGTACTTTATACAGGGACGTCTAGAGCGCGGCCGCCTCAACAGGTACGTATCTTATGTATATGCCCTCCTTCTGAATCTCGCCTGTACCAGTTTTGCCCAAATATCAGCATCAAATGCCTGCAAGGATACAGGTGAGTACTGGCTGCAGTGGCGAACCAAAACGGAAGGCAGAAATCGGGCAATGTTCCGTTCCGGGTGACATGGCTCTTATGTTTCTTGTGCGACCTTCCATTACCAGGCCGGGTAGGACTAGCCGCGAGATCTTCGAGATCCCTAAGATCATCACGGCCCATATGCGTGGCCTGGGGGGCTTCTACTGGAAGGGATCTCCGGGGACCCCTGAACAAGAATAAAAGCACAAACCGGGGATCAGTGATGAGCAGGTCCATGTCATCCATGGCAGGGTACGGCTTGTAAAGAAATTCAGATTCTGCATGTATCGGAAGGGCGGACCAAGCTTTAAGGGTTATGTGTCATGTCATGAATGGGCGTATTATATGTATACAGGTACATGGTGAAAGTAAGTCAAATGAGTTTCTGAACTAGACGCGTTTCTGAACCGAGATGGTATATTTACTTGGCCAAAGAAGTAGACGAGAGTATAAGCAGCCATGTATATATTGCTCTGATACCAGCATATTACAGACAGGACTCTCATCACATTAACGACATTGAACGGGATTGCATGTTACGTGCATTTGATGAACATGGTGGGCAATGTAATCCGGGCAGAGTTCCAGGATGCAGATTCGATGGTCTTGGTAAAAGTACTATAAAGTAGCAACAAAGATGGACGACAGAGCCTACCACTTCCATTACGGCCCATGGCATTCCTAATGCAGAACTGTCTGCAGGTGACAGAGCCAGGGGAATCGAGGAATCAGACAAGTTCTGTCACACTTTTCCTGGCCAATCCTAGTTCATCAATGCAAGCCTGGAGCCAGTAATAATAAGCTCATGCATCAAACGATCGGGGATTGCAGTTTTAGGATTTCCTTGAGCCATCATCTCCAAAATCGCACGAACGACACCAAATCATTCAACATGGCCAAGATCTCAGCTAACGAGGTGGCTTTTTGGCTTCATCACACTGTGATCAACATCTTTACTTTGAGTTGCTGCTCTTCATGTCGCGGAGTTTTGGAACTGTTCCCATCAAGGAGAAGTGTGAGGGCTCCCTCCACAACGTTGCACCGGGGCATGGACTCACTTCGGCTCAGCCTCAAACATAAGTACCTACCTACCTAATATACATTAGAGCTTTGAATCATAGCAACCCGACCCGTACGCCTGACAGGGCTGGATTTAAGCTTATGCTTTTCCTAGAATCATGGTAACAGAGCTAGCTACAGTACACATATGCTTGCTGTGATCGTTCGTTCATTATTTTACAGCATTAGAGGCGAGAAACCCTGGCTAAACTGTATTATTTACCAGGTACTCTGTGCATGAGAGCGAAAAGCTGTGTAACAGTCCAGCTGGAGTACTGAGCAGATAGGTAGGTCGGCAGGCCTTGAAGTCCAGCTCATAGCCAATTAGCAAACATGTATAACATAATACGCAGCCAGAACCATGGACAATTTTCGGTCTTTTCTTTCCCGTTTTGTCTACGTTTAGCAATTCAGGTTAGGCTGAGTTGTGACATGTATGGATGGCGTCTCGGCGGCAATAAGAAAAAGAAACTTTTAGTGCGCCTGTCGAGCCTGTCCTGGTCCTGTCGCTTGTTCGTTCCATCAATAAGGCAAGGGTCCCTAGAGCATCCGTCTTGGCTTCTCCCACTCGGGCAAACTCATCGCAACTTTACCTTGAATAGTAGAGTACAGGACTACAGATGAGGCTAGCGACATACACATGACACTGGACCACCTCGGAAGTTAGGCCATATCATGAGTGTGTTATTGTTTGAGCTGAACTTGTTTGATCAATGATGGGCATTAGTACTCAGCATTAGTACTAGCATCAGAAGCACGTCCTTTTACGGAGTAGCAAATTGCAAGCCTGTTACCATTTAGTGCAGTCGCGTTTATGAATGTGGATGTACTGTTAGTCTCCCCTGCTACTAAACACATTCTGTCTTTGTATCTGTGATACTTGCCCTGGCATGGGAATAGATATGATTTTAAACGAGACGAACCTTTGTAATTTTAAAGGACGAAGGAATTGATATCCCAGATAAAGTTAGCAGATTGCTTCCAAGTCCCGTACCTGGCTTAGCTACTAATCGGAGACGGAGTGAGTAAGAACGGAGCATTAGAATAACCGGGCCACCGTCGTAGGATTTAACTAATACAGACTGACAGATAGTTTAAAATAGAAGGATGCATTAGATTAAGACCTTTTGATTCGGTTGGATTATTTACATGTGGTTTATTGAGGCTATTTGGAACTAAATCTTTGACCTAGGTGGTATGACATGAGGAAGGAAATGTCAACACAGGCTGAAGATGGCTCAAGCTAGCTGTTTTGCGGGGCGCCACCCGAACCGTTGAGGTCGAGCTAGCTGGGGCCAGGAACCTGCCGAGATATCTGCTTCCCTTTTTGGCAAGGCGACAAACACTGTAGACAGCCGCGCCATTTGGGTGATAGAATAGCTGTGCGTCACAGTAATAATAAAATCTAACACAGTCCCTATGTCACATCGCTTCAATCCACCCACTCCACAAGTTCCTGGCCGTGTCCACTCAATTATTCTTCCGTTTGGACAACACGACACGAGGATAAATTGGAGATGAGCAAGACAAGATGAGCGAGCGAGCAATCGCAGGTGCTACTGCAACTACAGTGCGTTCGCTTGCTCACATCCCATCCATCGCATCCATGATCCCTAATCCTTGACCCATGGCCTATCTCCAGGCCGGAGACTCGGCCCTGTCCCAAACGAAGAGCAACTGACCGGCACGACCAGGGTTCTTTTTTTCCCTATTACCCATCGTCTTCTGGGGATTCCTCGGCCTCGAAACTGTCACCTTCCTCGTACATTACCGTATCGGCTGTTCGGATCTAATCCGGTTCCTTCTTGGCTACCATTCCCCTGCCTCGCACTGAGCCGGACTCGCACGAGTCGCACCACCTGATCCGTCTCTCCAAATGTGAGACAAAAAAAAAATGAAGAAAAACCCGCTCAATTTACCTTGATGGAAGGTTCTTTGCTCTGTCTGGACCAGTCTTGAGCATCGGGTTGTGGTGCATCCGTGAAGCAGACCCTAGTTTGCAGACTGCCAGTCATCCATCCTCCATGAACCAACGATACACACAAGAGACAATAAAGCAGAACAGAGCAGCACCGAAAAAAAATTACACATGGCACCAATGACGTTTTACTTGAGTAGTAGTCGAATTTCTTGTTTTTCCCTGCCTGCAGATCTACCATGATGCTGTAATACAGAACGGACAGGCACGCAACTTTACTCACTAATAACTTACACATCACCACTCAAGTACAGGATACCGTACAGTCCAACAAGTGCCCAGGAAGTAGACTGCATGGTCCAGCCTGCCAAATCGGGGCTGTGCGCATGCTTCAGTACAATAGGTCTTCCGAGGCTGTTGGTTGCTCGTTCTTGGAGGTGGAGATCATTTCAGGTGTCCTTCAGCAGTTGGTTCACGATGGGACGATGGGTTTCCAAACTGGGCAATGTCCTTTTTATTCTACAGTTTTTCTCGTTGCCGCCGTCGCGTCAAAGCCAGACCATCCCATCTGTACTGTCCCGTCCCGTACTGGCATGTACCCAATGTAATGTAGGTTGTTCTAGGGAGCCGAACCCTGGTCTCAACGGAATCCGGCCCTTTATACCTTAGCTTGTGTTGGTTGACGGTAGGTTCTAATTTGCGCAACCAAAGGTTGAACCTTGAGCCTTGACCTCGGGTGCGTTCACGCTGGCTGGTTGATCCTAGCGATACCGTTATCTGTCTGCTTCTTGCTATCCGTGAGATCTGTCAAGGGCCAAGATGGCCCAGCCGTCTGGTTGGCGAACGGCATCCTGGCCTAGACCTCATTTCGCTCTCTTCCCGGCCCCGTCACCCGCTGCTCGACACCTTCCCAGTGGCTCTTTACCTACCTTACCCGTCTCCCCACCCTAGGGAATCCATGCCATGCAGGCGGAGTCCTGATCCTTCGACAATCCTCGTCCGGTCTGGTCTGGTCTGTCTTTGCCTGGGTCTAGGTAATTCATCAACAGTAGCTTCGTCAAACGGCATCTAAGTAATCGTTATTCCCTGTACCTCGCCCAGAAAAGGTCGGAAATTTCTGTGTTTGATACTTGTCTCTGTTGCCACTGTCTGTCTCGCTCTCGCTGTTACTCTTGACCTTGACTTCATCTTGCCCGTGTTGGTCGAGCCCTCGTTGTATTTATCCAACTCGTACCCCGTCATGGGGCTTGCCAACTTGGTCGATGAATCTCTGCTCACTGCAGTACCTAATCTAACCTACCTATCTACCTACCTGCCTGCCTGCCTACCGGAAGTGCATGGCTCATGAGACCCTAGCCTCTAGCTCCCCACGTATTCTAACCCGACCCTCGCATCCTTTAACGACCTCAAATATGTACCTTACACCTCCCTCGACTTCGAACTCTCCAGTGTCGCAGTATTCACAGTTCTTCGAAACGAGTTCGACCAGTCCGGATCCTTCCCGTCACCCAGATCGCTTGTCTTGCTACGATTCTCCATTTGAGCAAACTGTTCCCATTGGTGTTTCCCGGCCAGATTTGGAACCAGGTCCGTACTCTCATCACGGTCGCTGGTACTCAGTACCTCAGACTGAGCTTCTATCACCGCCTCCCATGGACCACGGTAGCACTGCCTGGGTAACCCCGGATGGATTAGTCGCGGGGACAAGTACAGCATCTTCGAGTTCCGTGGAACCTGATGCTTTGCATGCTGATTTCAATGCATTTGCTGGATACGACTCATGTCTGCCTGCCCCGTACCAACCCCATGATGCTTATATGCCAGCTGGACGCAACCCGTCGGTTCATGAACCTTCGCAACCTTCCACAAGCCAATCTGCACGAGCGCCAACACTGGGAGCGAGGCCATCGTATGGGTACCTTCAAGACCCAGCCAGCTCAAGATTCAGAGTAGAAGGTTCTGTCAGCACCTACGGCCAAGGATATGAATCTCATTCTTACTCGGCGCCTGGTCCGCCAACTACTACATACCAAACCGATGGGGCTGCCTTTACTTCAAACCTGCCCTCAAGTATGGGCGCAGGTAGCTCAACAGCATGGCCCAAGCAGGAATATGAAGTGTCACAATTCTACCCTACCCCGCAAACCCAACTTCCAGAACTTGGCCAGGAGAGGAGATTATTGAAAGCAAACAAGGTCAAGAGACCCACCAGGAAACATACGTCCAAGGAGGAGGCCAACTTTCAGTGCGAAGTAAAGGGTTGTGGGAAGTTTTTCAGTCGCAGCTACAACTACAAGTCCCATCTGGAAACTCATGATGAGAAGCGCGAATATCCTTTCCCATGCACCGTAGATGGTTGCACCAAGAAGTTTGTACGGAAAACCGACCTCCAACGTCATCACCAGAGCGTACACATGAAGGAGCGCAATCACAAATGCGACTACTGTGGACGTCTCTTTGCTCGCAAGGACACCTTGCGAAGGTAGGCAGATTGATACCCCCTTTCCAAGTTCTGATATTAACCATCTATTTAGACACATGGAGGACGGCTGCTCCAAAAGATTTGATATAGGCACACTCAACTTACAAGGACCAGGATTTGCAGGTTTGGGCATTGTCAGCCCGGGCAGGCCATCCGGCTTGGACCCTCGTCGCCCCGGATAGACCTGTCCCAGCAACCCACTTACATAGTGCTTAATCGTACTTCAAATACATGCCCGTATGCCTGACCGACGAAAGAGAGGGATGTTAAAGGCGCAATGACGGTGCCTTGGATCGATCTGCCCTGCAACAGAGGCTAGGCATTCCTGACTATGAAGTGATACCCAAGAATCTACGAGGTAGGTTGAATCACTCGACCACAGCTCAGAACCTGGCAGGCATGAGGGTCAATAACTAACGGATCTCGCTTTAGTCACTATCTTAATGTTAATGAGGAAGACGGCGAACACACTTCATCAAACCCTGAGGCTTTCGACGTCGAACAAAGAGGGGGTTTATACACGGAATTCGACTGTGTTTCCCACCAATTCTCGCCAGCATGCACGACACAGCTATAAGCCATTTGTCCACTTGAACACTAAGGAGCTGCAAGTTTCGAATTGTTGCTATGAGACAGGGAAATGTTTGGTCCATATTTCACATGCAAATGAGTTACGCCGTGCATTTTGCCGATACCCAAGGGGCCTCGCTATGACAGCGTTTCGAAATCAGCCACCTCGGCATACGCAGGATTTGACTATCACAACTTGATTGGGAAGCTCGTTATGAGAGGCGATTTTAGTTCAAAGTTCCACCCTGCAAGAAAGAACCTTTGAGGTTTGCTGTCCGACTCCCCAGCAAGCAGATTCATGTCTTTGTTTTCTCCAGCGCAACGAGACTATAATGGATTACGGCTGCATGTTGTTCATTCCCTGTTTATATGCGGAGGCCTGCATATTGGAGTCAACGTTATTACGGCGCAAGGTTAAACCATATAGCTAGAGGAGCTATCGGATATGACGTGTGTTAATTTATTACGAAGGTTGTCTCATGAAATAAGCTTGACAGCCAATTTGTTTACTTTGGCTGAATCGGGTCAAACAGCTACCAAGCTACTGAGACATTGAACTGTTTTCACCTTTGAAACCGTGTTTTGGCCCATTAATCTGATTGGTTGATGTCAATGACAACTTTGCTATACCAGTATTGAGTCATCGAAATCCGGGAAGCTCTTCATCCTTTATGTATCAAGTTACAAGTCCACGTTGTTTGCAAATGTGATAGGGACAGTGACATCGGGGTACTACAAAAGTTGGCCGTTGGAGACAAATTAATGAGTCAGTTTATGCTATCTAGACTCGACTCTTAGTATATTTATTTTTGTAGCCTTAAGCTCAAAGTCCAACTTTTCTGCTACCCACTAGAATCAGTGACAGTGACATACTGTTGCAGCCTACGGGTCTACGTGGCAGGGGCGTAACTAATGCATGTGATATGGATCGTTTGGCTCGCGACAGGATCTTCTAGAAATCTGATCTGATACAAGTCTTTTTAGATCTTCTCAAAGTATCTGATGGGCAATTTTGAAGCCGTAGGTACAAATCGACGAGAACAAGATACCTCTCTTCACCTTAGCACTTCCCCTTAGATGTACCACTTACAAGCGAGATCCACATTTTAAAGGCAGATGTTCTGTCTAGTCTGTACCCACGTCATCACGCCCTGGCATCGCAGCCCATAATTTCCATAATACATCCCCATCACCGATTGCTGGGCAGGCTTCTTGGTGAAGCTTCCGCCCTGGAACTCACAACTTCTGCCTGTCGTTGCGAACACGGAACTCGTTTTTCGACTGATTACCGTATTCGCATGGTACTGTAAGCGACTTTATGGCACGTCCGACTCTTGCGCTGTATCCACCCGCCTTGAGAGGCTTGTCCGTCCAAGTCGCACGAAATCGATTTCTACGGAGCCGCGTGTGGAGATAGTAACTATCGTCATGACGGACGATCATCACACCTACGGTGCCAAATGCCGCTTGGCACCTGTTGCTCGAGTTGAACGCGAAGATGATGTCCCTCCAGTCCAGGCTCAGTTCTTCTACTCGTCCGTCATCCCTATTGATGATCCTCTCTCGACATCCTCAACCGTCGGTGCCGATACCAGGACAAGCAAGGGTCAGGTGCGGCCCTTTGCGCGAGGCGATAACAATGCGTTGGAGAAGGCCTGGTTGGGACTTATGTCCGAGTCTGCTCATCGCGCGCATCAGGATGCATTAGAGACTCAGGGCCGTGCTGCTGAGTTTGACTCAGATAGGCTGGCATCGATTATACAAGCCATTACCGCAAAACATTGGGACAGGCATCGTAAAGGCTATCAGCCACAAGATGTAGCAGCACCAACTGGCGATTTTTTGCCCACAACGCCTGTGGCCGCTTGTTGTTCCGAGCTGGTTCTTGACGTTTCTGATGAATTAGAGCAAGGTTTCTGTGCACTCGTCCGGAGGCGCAGCGCAGCTTTGAGCGTCGATGAAGTTGTACAGCAAGTCGTTCTTGCTCTCGAAAGACTGAAGAAACAAGCCAACGACGAAGTAGAGACTCAACCTTTGCCTGGAAGCCCGCCATTCAGCCGCCCTGGGACCGCTTCTACCACTAATACGAATCACCCCCTAGCTCGAATGCCAAAGACGACAACGGATTCAAACAGTTCTAAACGTCGATCAACTGTCAGTGACGCGAGAACCAGAACAAACAGTCTATCGATGTCTCAACCTGTTAGCCAGCCTCTTCGATCACCAACACCTTTCGGAAGTCTGGGGGCGCTCGCGAGGCCGCCAGTTCTTGATGATGGAATATCTGGCAAGCCATTTGTACGCGTAGGAAGTCCCGAGACACAATCAGAACCAGGATCCCTTCCTTTATCTGGCATTAGTGGCCCGGCACGCGATGTCGCTCGAACGCAAGAACAGTCCCAGGCAACTGCTGGGCAACAAACTTCCACACAAACCGACGATTCAAAAACGACCAAGGCTGTTGAGCCACTCGATATTGCTGAGGTTGCAGTAGGGTTATCAAGATTACACATGGTTTCTTTACCAACGCTCCAGATGAAACCAATATATTGGTCCCCTATCAATGATGTTGCAGTCGTATCTCGAGCAACATGGTTCTACAGGTAACCCTAACACCCTTGGCCAGGGGGTAAGTCGCTCACATGGATATAGAGACACGATGTTACCAATACCACCGGCTGTTGCGAATCAACTTGAGGCGGGCTATCACGATCTACGACCCTGGACCGAGACCTGGAGTGATGAACTTCGTTGTGCCATCGATGTCGGACCAGCAGGTGAAGAGAAGGTCTCGCATCTGCTGTGGCCTAAGGAGTTGGAGGTTGGCTCTGGTGACGATTTTCCAGAGCCACACATACCAACAGATCCGTTTTGCGCAGCTCGTTGTTTTCGTGGTGAAGCAGCTGCCGAAGGGACTATTGAAACGTCCCCAGTAACAACAGTCGCCCCGGAAGATCAAACTCAGCAGACACGGTCGTACTCAAACTATCATGTGGTATATAAAAATGCCAGAGAAGCATTCCTACTAAAGCCAAGCCTGAAGCCTTCGGCATACTACGGTCGAAGACCTGTGATGAAAATTATGAGGGGTGTCACCGTTGGAATCCCTATTATTCGCGGGTTTGATCGGGTATCATGGGAGCGTTTTCACCACAAGAAACAGACACCCAACAAGGCAGGGGCATCTGCTGCCGATGAGTCGCATGAGAGCACTGGACAAGATGTATGCACAGCATGCAAAGTGGACAAAGAAAAACACCAGGTTACGGACCTGGTCTTAGTCGCTCACGGCATCGGTCAAAAGTTTGCCGAGAGAGTGGAGAGTTTTCACTTCACCCATGCCATCAATGGTTTCCGCCGAGCCGTCAATATGGAGCTTCAAAGCCCCTTGGTGAAGCAGGTCCTACGCGAAGACCAAAATGGGTTGATGATACTGCCGCTGAATTGGAGAATGGGCCTTTCCTTCGAAGATGGAGGGCCGATGAGAGAGGAAGACAAAGACGAATACACGCCAGAAGGCTTTGGACTCAAGGACATCGAGCCTGATACAATTCCCGCTGTTCGGAGCATGATATCAGATATCATGTTCGATATTCCATTTTACATGTCCCATCACAAAGGCAAGATGATCAAAGCACTTGTGTCAGAAGCAAATCGTGTATATCGACTATGGTGTCGTAACAATCCAGGGTTTGCCGAAAACGGGCGTGTTCACATGATCGGGCATTCGCTCGGTAGCGCCATGGCCCTCGAGGTTCTCTCGAATCAGCCGACTGAAGTTCCCAAACTGGATCTGACGCGCAAGGAGCCAGAGACAAAGTTTTTCGAGTTTGATACGACCAATCTTTTCCTGGCTGGCAGTCCCGCTGGATTCTTCCTCCTCCTTGAGCGTGGAGTGCTTATGCCTCGCTATGGCCGTATGAAGCCTGGAGCTGACTCAAGCGACATCATATCGAGAGACGTGGTGGCAGAGGCTGGCACTTTCGGTTGTTTGGCTGTCGACAATATCTACAATATTCTTGCCAAGGAGGACCCCATCGCATATCTCCTCAACGGTGCCGTCGATCCCATCTACGCAGCCAGTCTAAAAAGGGCATATGTCCCAACTATTTCCAATTCTCTTTGGAAATCCGTCGGTGCCGCGATGCGTGGAGTAGTGCCAGGTATGGCCCCAGCGCCGAACCTACTGGTACCCGAACCGGAGCGTCCAACAACGGTACGACTTCCTTCTCAGTTGGAGCTTGAGGTGCATGATTTTGGCCGCGAAGAAATCGCCGAAAGAAAGGCGTTCTTGCTGAACGACAACGGGCAAATCGATTGGTACCTTCGCTCAGGAGGAGGGCCGTTAGAGATTCAGTATCTAAATATGCTCAGCGCGCACTCTAGTTACTGGACTAACCATGACTTTATCCGAATGCTTTGCATTGAGATTGGGAGGAAGCCTGGTCGAGCGCATTCGATACCTGCGTTGCGGGCAGTGAAGGCAGCGAAGCGACTATTGGTAGACTGAAATTGATTTTATTTCACTGGGGTTGTTGGGCATTTAACATGCTTATCTTGTTCATTCTTTTTTTGTCTTATTTTAATTAGCCGGCGTACGGGATGGAACGGGGAACAACTGGCATTTTGGTGTTTGCCCTTTTAGATTTCATCCAGCTCATAGTTCATTAGATCCCCCTTCAAAGGGCTTGCATTACATGTCTATAGATGGTTCTTAATATCTTCTAATTACAATAATACTATGATGCAGCTTGATATCCTTTTAGGAATGCGATCTATCTTGTCCTATCTTTTTCAATAGCGTCTCAAAAAAAATCTAGAAGCCGTCCATCTCCATCATGTCCTGGTCTAGCTCGTCGTCATCATACTCAAAATTGTCTTCTTGCGCAGCAGGCTTTGGTCGCTGCGCCTCCTCTTCGAGTTCCTTGATCCTCTCCAAGTCCATCTTCTCTTTGTGTTCCATCAAGTCCTTGTAGCCCCATGTGCTGATACCTTCTTGGTCCTTGGCCCGGAATGGCTGTGCCATGGTTCGAAGGAATCGTCTTGCGCTGCTGACTGCCATATCAGTGCTCAGATTGACATCTGATTCTTGCAGACCTTGGTTGATCCATTTGGGCAGTTGTGTACGCTTCTTCTGGAAGCGACGGTCGGCGAGAACCATGATTCCGTAGTCGTCCTTTCCACGCAGAACTCGTCCCAGACATTGGGCAGCGTGTCGCATAGCATCGAAGGACAGGAAGTCGTTCTCCTTGATACGATATGTTTCTCGCAAGAACTGCAGTCTCGCTTTGAGGATACGGGACTCGGTGTACTGGAATGGTACTCCGATACACAGCACAGTACGGCCATATTGGTGATCGAAATCGATTCCTTCAGAAACCTTTCCTCGGGCGACGCAAAGCAACACCGCACCTCTACCATTGCAGCATGCTGTACGGTATGTTTCCAGAGCAAGCGAAGTTTCCTGAGCATCAGGTGTTTCCACCAGAATGAGCTTGTACTTCCAGACCTCGTCGAGCACGCCCATTCCCTGCCACATGCTGATGATCGATTCCATATAAAGATACGAAGGGAAGAAGACGACCATGCCATCGGGTGTGATCTTCGCAAACTCAGTGAGCAGGTTACCGTAGTTTCGAACCACACTTGGTTCGTTTCGAACTTGGAAACTGGTTGACACAGAAGCCTGGTCACTTCCCCTAGTAACGATCATAGGCATGAATGATCTGCGAGCCAACGTCATGGCGTACGATTCTTGAATTACTGTCGAGAAATCCAGCATCTTAGGGTAAATCTCAAGTGGAGAGATGGTACCGGATGTGATGATGACGGAGTAGAATCTGTCGAACACGGGCTTGATAGCGATGGCCGCATCAAGACAGGTGAAATGCAGCACCGGGTTGGGGACTTCAGCAGTATCTGATTCATAAGGCTCGAGGATGAGAAGGAAGCCCTTCTCGTAGGTGGCCACCAACGTTGCGAAAGTGGCAACCTCTTGTAGAGGCTGGTAGTCCTCGATGTTGGTAAGTTCCAATGTCCGAACTAGTGATGTTAATCTCTCCGCACAGAATCTCAATGGCTTCTTCTCGATAAAAGTGTGTTCTCTCAAGTGCGCAAGGAATGAAGGCGGTGTTTCGGAGATGACTTGTCGGACTTTCATCCTTGTCTTGAGATACTCGATGAATCTCTTCAGGAAAGCAATGAAGTGCTCTGCTCTCCTGATATTTCCTGGAACAGCTTCTTTGAGCAAGTCTTCAGGAAGAGCTGCAGATCGGTTAGCACTCTGTTTGCCAGTACGTCAGTTACAGAGACATACCAGGGTTTGCCATAAAGGCATCTTCTTGGCGTGCTTCATCAGCATCGCGTAGCCCCTGCACCAGTTTCTGATACTCGTTCTGAAGTTGTTCCTGATCTGTGTCACGCATCTGCGATATCTTGTTTTCTAGATTTTGAGCGCCCCTGGTTGCCTTCCGCAAGGAGTCTTCTGTGATGTCTGTACTTAGAGACTCGATACAGACGTTGTCGATGTTGTGAGCCTCGTCAAAGACAACGATGCAGTCCTTGGAGAAGTCTTTTGACACCCTTTCGGCAATCTTGGGATCAAGGAGGTAGTGGTATGAGAAGATGACAACATTACAATATTGCATCTGGGAAATGAATTAGCGTCCTTGATGAACCTTCCACCAGACCCGTATACACTTACCATTCGTCGTGCAGTAAAGTATGGACACTGCTTTTGCTCCTCGCCGTATCGGATGATATCATCAAAAGACCAGACGCCGTTGGGAATGAGATTGTGAGGCTCCAAAAGGTCGAGATTCTGTTTCCTTACTTAGCAACGCCCCTATTGAAGGACTGCATCGTTTCGCAAGACTCACGTCGTGATACACACAGACATCAACGTTCTCACCACGTTCCTTCTTCTCCTTGACAAAGCCGGCAGTAAGACTTCTGCAGCGGGCATCGACGACGGAACCACTCTTTTCTCGCTTCACAGAAGGATGGAGGCACAGGTTCTTTCGACTTGTTAGACCGAGGCCACGGAATTCTTCCTCGTACCCAAGCTCCTCAGCACGGTACTTCATGAGAGACTTCAACTCGACTAGCGCCTTCTCAATTTCGGACATGGTACCTTGAGGGGGGTTGTGTCAGTGTGTAGGCCAAGATGATCACAGGATGCGACATACGAGAGCAGTAGATCAGCTTCCTCTTCTCGGGCATGTATTGCTGGTAGGCAACGATCAGAGACAGCAAAGACACTGTTTTTCCTGTCCCTGAAGGCATTTCTAGGACACAGTGGCCCCCTGCATCCAGGGTTTCTATTGAAAGCTCGGGTTAGTAATCCCAACTCCTTTCAGAGGAAGCAAAGGGTGCATACTTTTGAGATCGCACATGTAGCTTAATGAAGCTCATAGTCAGCCTTTTAGTGCATAGTAGCTCGGGAAACTCTGGTAACTCACGCATATTGTTCTAAGAAGAGTTAGTCTGACCAAGCAAGCGATCGTCAATCGCGGATATATATGGCTTACCTGGATATATCCTAGGGTAAGGAAATAGCACAGGTAGATCGCTAGGATATGTGAGTAAATGAGGCGCCAGGGATGGGGGAGAACGTACTCGATATTGAACTTCATGATGGGCTGATTGTTTTGCACCGGGGTAAGCCCTCGATGAGTTATTCTATGTCTGCAGTTGGCGAAAAGCGTGAGGCGTGACGTGAACTCTGTGATCAAAGCGAGCGTCGCGAGGTCACGTGCCAGAGGACTGATGTCACCGAGACTCTCGGTGAGAGCACACCGAGGAAGCCCCACCACTTACCCCGTAGCGATCTCTAGAAAATCGGCCTTTCTCAAAGCACCAAGACCGAATGTTCCTATAACTTTCGATATAGGATGGTTGGTTTCAGATTGAGAAGGATTTTGGCTAGAAACTTCCAGGTGCCTACAGATAGAAGCTTGGAATTTGTGTTGGCTACTATTGTGATGAGGATACAAGGCCGCGTTTGTACGCTGAGCCAGTTATAGATAAAACAATAGTTGCGATAAACTCGAAACTTGCTCTACACCTTACCTGGTTCTTGCCCCTGCCTCAGGGTATTAGAAGAATAGGCCGCTGGAGCATAAGAGACGAAATTAGTTGGATAGTTTATGTTACTTAGATTAGACTTCGTAGGCTGTTTATTTTTGTATCCCAAAGTTTAGAGACCAACTTTTCTACTCATGCAAGTTCACAAGATGGATCACGGGGCTCGTGTAACATTGTCTAAAGCACTTGTATGGACGGTTGTTGTTCGATCAACAATGCTGTAACTGGTAAGGTCCACCGTACCTTAGCATCTGTTTGACATACTCATGCCGGTAGTCCAATGTGACAGTACATACTAGCTTCAAGTTGTCTATGGATACTCTGGAGTTTGGGGTCGTGTGAAAGAGTGGAGTTTGGCAAGGGAGAGAGCCCTGAAAGCACCCTTTAGTTGCTCAGCTCGTGATACGTTGACGAGGTCGCGTTTTGCTGGAAGATAGAGGACAAAGGTACTCCCGAACACATATAGTGATGATCTACTTGAGAATACCTTATCTTTTCCTTATAGATAGTAGTACCTAATGAAAGCGTTGTATTATCATCGTCGACCGAGATAGGTAGATAGTCTAGTGGAGGACATGTCTAAAGTTTTTAAGGTCAGTGGGGAAGAGACAAGGGAGCTTGAGCTTGGGGCGGGCTGTTTTGTTCTGTTCGCATCGCATCGCAGGGACGCTAATGCACCGGCTTTGTCTTGCTCTGGCCCGTGATGGTCATGTCACATCATCTCGACTGATCTCGACTCATATGTCTGGAGTTGTGCTTTGCCCCCAAAGTGGTCTCATAGTTTGATACTGCAGTGAATACTGCATAAAACATGCCATAATAGCTACCAGAGACTACGGATCTCATCCATCAAATACTTCGGTGGTTTTAACCAGAGTCGAATGCAATGTCGATTGTCGAATGTGATCCAAAAGCCTGCAGAGTCTCCATACAGTAGCGTCTTGCTTCCCCGCTCATGCATGCAGCTCCCCACCAATTATAACGGCGATGCAGCGCCAGCTTCCCGCCCCAAGTTACGCTTCTAGTGGAGCCCCCCAATGGTTGCTCGCCTAAGTCTCCCATCTTTCCATGGTGTTGACCACTATCATGAACCTCAAACGCCCGCTAGACTTGCTTCAACGTTGATATCATGGGTTACAGTCTGCAGCATGTAGCAGGCAGAAAGGGATACATACTGGTTTGAGAGAGAACAAAAAACGCAATTGACAATATAACCCTTCTAATTTATCAGAGACTGATATACAAGTAGGCGTCTAAACAAAGGCTGGCATGGTACAACATAGGCACAGCCCGTTTACTCACCCCGGGACCGGACCACCCTTATCATCATCTTCAGGATTCGCCATCCGCCAACCGCCATCTGCATTTCTAAACCATCCAACCAACATCGACATACTCCAAACCGCTGGACGAGCAAACCAAAAACGTTGACGTGCTGAAACCAAACCACCACTACCAACCACTACGTCCCTCCATTCCTTGTCATCAACTGCTATGTACAGCACTTGACTACACTATCTTTCCGACTGCCAGCCGTGATCTGTTCCCCTCTTCTCCCTCATCTTTGTTCCTTCATCTTCTTGGCTACACATATTCATATTGTCTTTAGTCCATTCAACAAGCTCTTTCTCTTTATTATCTCAATTACTTCACACGCGCCTATCAATCGACTAAATATCCAAGTTTCCAGCAAATCAGTGACCATCCCACCACCCAAGCCCCGCCCAGGTCCATCCATTTGCCTGCACGCGACAGATCCGACAGTATCTCGAGTCTGCATCGTTTTATCTTGTTCTTGGATTTCAATTCGATAATCTGGTGCAGGAAATCTGAGACATACTCTGGCGTCGTCAGTTTTGCAAATCAAGTCCCCTTCGTCTTTTTTCTTTTCTTTTTGTTTCCTAGGGTTCATTTTTTCTGGAAACTCAACCTCCCCGCATCATCTCCCTGCATTCCATTCCAGCGACCCTGTGGCTGGCTTCATGGTGCCTTGTCTCTTACTCTGATCTGATTTGAGCTCAGGCATGTGCGACAGTAGTCCGGTTACAGGAAGAACGAAATCGCGTGCCTCTCAAATCTGTATTCTTGCATCATCCCTCAAAATCTTGATCCCTGTTTCTCCAGCGTCTTGTGGCTGAGCTGAAGATAACAGCATATCGCATTTCTTGCTTAGCTTACGGTTTTTGAATTGCTGTTTGATTGTCCGACCAATTTCCAAGACATCTGTCTTACTTGGACTTTGGCCAGATTGTTGTACAACATATTGCATATAAACCCGTCTATATCCTTTCCTGTCTGCCGTCCGGCAACATTACATACTTGCAAGCTTTCCAGCATAAGCTTACTTGTCCATCCAATCTGACCCAATTGCTCTCCGCTGCTATGACTACCATTGCGCTTGCTCGACCAATCCCGCCTCATCGTCCCTCATCTACCATCACTCCGCCGCTATCTCTCGAGAACAGCTCTGCCTCCAGTTCTTCGCAATGTTCCGGTCCAATTCCTAACAAACACCTTCCCATATGTCCTCCTGGACCCGCCTGTCCTGACGAACTCGATACCCCGCCACCATCACCACCAGCCCATGATCAACTACAACAAACCTCGACTCTGTATCCCCTTGATGGCTTTAAGCGAATCGATTCGGGTGAACTTTCTATATACGAGCTTGATGCGGCCAAAGTTGCAGAGGCAGTTGATGTTGCTTCACGTCAGCCATTGCCCGACCCTGCGCTCGTCTTCCCTTGGTTCCATGGCCTTCATCCCCAAAACCATGTCCAACAGTCTTTTTTTGCTGCCAGGCGACGTGCTTCGAGGCCAACTCCCTCTTGTATCAGAGCTCTCACCCTCGTTAAAGCTGACGGAGATCTGAATTGCGCGCGACTCAAGGGTGCGATTGCCCCCAACGAAATCATACAAGCCAACAACCCTGCCAGGTTTATTGAGGCAGATCCACGTGAGGGCTTTTCCGTCAGAAATTTTCAGATCCAAACAGTGAAAACAGCTGTGCTGTCGGACATAATTGTTTATGGTCAAGATTTGAACAAGACTCGCAAAGTGGCGTGGGATATTGCGAGCGCGCAGCAACTATGGCGTGAGAAACACCAAAACCAAGGCGAGTGGATGCCAGAGTATCACACCTTTATCTGCACAAGCCCGTTTTCTAGATTCGAGGAAAGCCAATCAGAGATTGTGGCCGTTGATGAATCTGGTCATCTGACGGGCAATGTTCTCGACTTCTTTAGTCAGGAAAGGCGAGAGATGTGGGAAATGACGGAAGCATCTGAGTTCTCCAAAAATGTCTTTATGGGTCCTACTCCCGAACAAGGGAGCCCTGAAGAACAGAAGTACGACATTCTGATTGAGTGTAGTGACCTTGGAAGACTGAACCCATTGGCTCTTCAGCTTATTGCTGAGAGTCCTGACAGTGATCGCAAGCAGCGATTCCTCGACTTTCCATCGTCTGGCAGTATTCTTCCACCAACGTGGTCGCACTCAGAAGCAGACGGCATCCTCGAAACCTGTAAATGGATCTATCATCTGGCACATGGTTCGTATCCAGAACCTGAACCAGGTATGAGCACAGATATCGATGCAGACGGTGATTCACCTATGCCATCCGATCATGAGTCCACTTTCGAGGTCAGGCCTCACAAGATATTGCTTCATTGCGCCGACGGCTACACTGAGTCAACTATGCTGAGCATCGCCTACTTCAGTTACAGTACTGGGCGACCAGTTCCCGAGGCGTGGCTACAACTCCATACAGAGAAGAAGCGAAACTTCTTTGCGTACCCAACAGATGTTGCGCTCTTGACATCAATTACTCCGCGACTGCTCCGGGAATCACCTGTTTGCAAGGGACTCAGCCTGACGGATATAACTCAGCTGACAAGGGACGAGCCAAGCTGGTTCGCCGCCTTGGACGGCTCCTTCCCGAGTCGCATCTTAGACTACATGTATTTGGGTAACTTGGGACATGCCAATAATCCCGATCTCCTGAGAGCGCTTGGTATTACTCAAATTCTCAGTGTTGGCGAGATAGCCATGTGGCGAGAGGGAGACCTCGAGGAATGGGGCAAGGAGAATGTATGCGTGGTACAAGGGGTTCAAGATAACGGTATTGACCCGTTGACCGAGGAATTCGCTCGATGCCTCGATTTTATTGGTAAGTTGAACCTGTTAAAGCATGATGGTCGAATTTGTAAATGCTAACCGGTTCACAGATCGCGGCCGACGAAATGGCACTGCAACACTGGTGCACTGTCGCGTGGGAGTATCTCGAAGCGCAACCATCTGCATTGCTGAGGTTATGAGATCAAAGGGGATGTCATTTCCTCACGCATACTGCTATGTCAGAGCCCGTCGTCTGAATGTCATCATCCAACCTCATCTTCGGTTCGCCTACGAGCTGTTGAAGTACGAGGAGGCGCTCCAGCAGGATGGTGACCCTGACGCCGAGATCAAGAGAACATTGGAGTGGTCTGAAATAGCACGAGAAATTGCGCTTATGAATCGGCCATACTCCCGTTAAAACGGCAAGTCGGTATATTGTCGTCCTTTTCAGCAGACATCTGGATCGAGCGGCTTACAGAACCACAAGAACTGGATCCGCCAGTTGTGTTTGTGTTTTGATCATTTTCATGTATCCATGAACTTCTCTTCAAGTTATCTTCGTTTCTTCTTCTTTTTCTATTCGGACGAATCGGCTATCGATATCACAAAGAACTGCAGGGCTGGACTTGCAGTTGGATAGGCGCATCGTCGGTACAAGGCGTCTTTGAATGTCTTCCGTTTTTGGCGTTTTGGCAGACACTGTTACTTGTTTTATTGTCCTAGCTCTTGATGTCTTGGTTGTTGTGTTTGAGTTATGAGGAAAGTTTGGATTTGGTTGTACATGGCAATGAATGATGACTACCACAATGGCTTTGGATCGATACATATTTCTCTGATTAACGCACATATTTCATTACTAGCATAACCATGACGGTTTCTTTTTATTCATGTGAGACTCATCGAGAAAGCCATTGGAACGACTCCTTATCCAACATGCGTTCTACCCGGCTAGAGCAAAAGTTCGAAGAAAACAAAGTACCGATTAAGAGATGAATAAGTTCTGACCGAAACACGAATCAGGCGAAAAGTGAAGCTCCAATTCCGATAAACGCCCATAGCAATGCTTCCGCTATACTGACCTCCCCTACATGTCATAAAATTCCAGCACAATTACTCGTTGCGATAGATGGCCTCTTACTTGAGGGTATTATCCTAACTACCATATCCAGAAGCGTCGCTTTTGTCGTCACCTTCCAAGACACTGTGCTGCTGTTAGTACGTCTTTGTTAAAGCTGCGTAAAGGAATGCACTCACGAAAATTGCTTTACAAGATAACCCTCCCCGCCATGCTCCATGTCGATATTGTAAACGTAAAAGCCTCCATCACTTGTTACAACCATAACTTGTGGGCTGCTACTACTCATGGCCACAACACTGCGCAATGGACCACCGGGTGCGTCACGCAAAGTCCGCGAGGCCCCAGAGGAAGTGGCGGATTTGGGAATCTTGATATAGGCGAAATCTCGCAAAGGTTCCCACATCTCTGTTACGGACTGTGGCAAGTATGATCCCATAACTCCTGCAACGCCACGGCCCATGATTTGGGAAGAGCGACGGAGCATACTGCTGAATGAGCCACTCCCCCTTGTGTGGCCTTGGTTGTTGCCTGAACCGGCTCCTGGCCCATTCAAATCCGCTGGCTCGTTCTTCGGCGACTCTGCTGCACTAGGACCTGGTGACTCGGAGTCATAACTTCTTGCCCGTGACCAACGATCCTGTCGCTGAGAGGCGGGTGATTCGATAGGCGCACCAGCTGGAGTAGTATTTCCGGGTGGTGCCCCAAGTCGGAAAATATGGATTGTGTCCGAGGTTGAAGAAACGCACAGCAAAGTTGAGCTGAGGTTAAAGGACATGCTGTATATAGTGGAGGGATATGTACCACGCCGGAACTGATATAGCTTTTGGCCCTTGGGCACTGAAAAGACACGAATAATGGTGCCTGTCTCACTAGCTGTGGCCAGCAATGTGCCGTCGTTATTAAGGCAAATACAGCACAATGGCGATCGATGCGCTTCGATGACATTGACAGCCTTGAGCGAAAGAGTGTCAAATATCAAGACCTCGCCTGATGTGGGCGCAACGAAAGTGGACTGAGGAGGAGCATGCGCCGGTCGATTCGCATCGGGATCTTCTCGTGGCTTCGGTAAGGGGTATGCGATATAGCAGTTCTCGGAGGATGGCGAGAGCGCGCATATAGCGGACGGGTTTGGCGACGTCGCAATTGTATGGAGGAGGCTCATGTTGCTAATATCGTACAAGTATATCTCTTCCTCGAGCACAACAGCAAGTCGCTTTCGGTTGAGTCGGACGGCCAGTACGGCTGAAGGAAACGTGAGTTCGCAGATGGTGGATGCTCTCTAATGCGCGTGTAAGTGATGTTGCCTATTTGTGAGGACTGAGCTCATGTACCTTGGTATTTTGAATGATCAGATGTCGAGGAGACAAGATAAGAGCGACGAGGGATGTCGAGAACAACATCTCGATGATGGCAATGTTGCCATCATCGCTGCTAAAGATTCGAGAAAACGGATCTGTGTGGTAGATACGAAAGCCTTTGGAAGTGCCTATAGAGAAGAACCGCAATTAGTCCCAGGCCACACAAAGAAAGATGCTAGCAATGCGGTCCTACCAACAGCAAGACAGCTGTGGTCTTGATTAAAGGTTATGAAATTAAGCGCCGGGCTGGTCATGGTGAAGTCGAGGTTCTGATGGTCAAGCTAGTATGTAGTAAGATGTACTAGCTGTATCTTATGTATTCTCGTAGTCAGAGACTTGAGCTCGACGCTCGAGAGGTGGTTTCGGTCGTCGATGGTGCAAGCACGAATGCGGTATCGGAAGCGGTGCGGCAGAAATGGAGTACTCTCTGGGTAGGTTCGATATTACTTTGCAGCGTATGTTAATAAGAAACGCTCAGCATGGCCCGTCGGAGTGGCTCAAGGTTGAATTAATCAATTTGGCGGTGATTTGGGAGGTTGGGAGGAGACAATGAATGGAAGGCTTTCGTACGAAGAAGCGCGGTGGGTTGGAAGCTTCAAGGTTGGGACCTGCCACACCTTACCCTGACTAGTTCCACTGGCCCTGGCAACCTTGGTACCTGTTAGCTTTCAACCTTGGGGGCATGAGATAAGTAAATCATGAGAACACAAGAGGCTAATTTATTTACCTAGTATCAACCTAGTCTTTTTCTTCATATAAATAACTTTAGACTATTCTTTTCCACTCCTAAAGCTTCAATGTTGATTTTTCCAACTCGGCTTACACTGTCTAGGATTCAACGTACCTTGACAACAAGGACCTGGTGGGGAAGAGGGGAAATCGACACAAGATATGGATACCTAGACTTACTAGAGGCACAGCAATACTTGACTCATCCGGATGTCTACTGAAACTCCTCTTTGCTCCAACATAATAACCCGAACCTGAGGATATATTCAACAAGGGTCATGCTAACAAAGTGTACCTGAGTAACTACCTAGGTACCCATGTATATTCTGTCTTCCCTGGTAGTACCAGGTCAGGTGAGATGAACACCAGGCAGGCTTGCTAGTGCCCTACCCTGAGGACACCGTGCTGATAGTTCAGGTGACGAAATGAACAAGGCAGTATGCTACCTCTGAAGAAAACCTCTTTGTGCTGTTATTTCTTTATTATTCAGCCCCGAGGACAAGTTTTCTGACATCTCTCAGCCTTAACAAGTAGATCGGGTGACGTCGATTCTCGTATCTTATCAAGATAACAGTGCGACGCTAAAGACGTAGAGCAAACCGCATTCATGATGGACCCTACCTCTCACGCTAAACCTCAAATAGTGATGAGACGGGCACAATTCACTAACAATTCTTTCCATCTAACGTCTTGACAAAGTCAATGTTTGTTGCAAATTTGGCAAATCAACCTCTTTGAAAGTCCTCACTGCCTAGGTAGGTAGTAAATTACACCTACCATGCCCAAGGAAAAGCCTTCGTCCACACGGGCGGCCAAGACGCAGGCTCTTGATGACCTGATCATGGGGGTAAGTTTTTATTTCGCTTTCACACTTACAGCATAAATGAATAGCCTCAGGGCATCAAGCTGGCCGCCAGAAGCATAAGTGACGAAATCAGCAGGCCACTTTATGCTATTTAGACCATACTTCTTGGGCTGTTTATTTTTATACCCTAAGACTTAGGAGCCTAGCTGCAGTTTGTTAGGTAACTAACATCACTTACAGACAAACAGCAGCAGCATTGTGTCCAAGAGGAGTGTTGAGCGGCTCTACTACCCCAATGAGCTGCACTTCTTTCGATACTTTGTCAACAAGTTCCAACGAAGAGCTCCCCTCATAAATCGTGGATACTGGCTAAGACTCAGGGCTATTGATGTGATAGTTCGCCAATTCATCACTATCCCAGAGCCGGGCCGAAGAAAGGTGGTCATCAATCTCGGGGCAGGAAGTGACGTTCTTCCTTGGCAATCGTACCATCGATATGGCGATTCTTGCGGGGATGCATTGTTCATAGATGTTGACTACCCGGATCTCATGCGAAAAAAGCGAGCAATCGTTCTAGGCACCCCCCAACTCCACGAGTTGTTGGGTGAAGATCCTTACATCAGTGAAAAAGATACAGACCATCTCCTTCTTCGCAGTGATAAATACTGCCAGGTAGGATGCGATCTCAGGGAATTGGAAACACTCCGCAAATGTCTCGAGTCGTTTCTACCCCTATCCGAATGTTCAGTATTGTTTGTTGCCGAAGTCTCGGTGACTTATATGGACACAATATCGGCAGACTCTCTTATCCAATGGGCAAGCTCTATCGGGCAGGGTATTTCATTTTCGATATAACCTATTTCTCTATCATGAAGCTAACCGCCTCCAGCTGAATTCTGTCTTTTGGAACAAATCCTACCTCATGGACCGGATCATCCCTTTGCCAGCACCATGTTGAAGCACTTTAACAAACTCAACACATCTCTCAAATCTGTACACCAGTATCCAACTGTTGATAGCCAACGTAGCCGATTTGAGAAGCGAGGCTGGAACAGTGTTGATGTCTGGGATCTGTGGGAGGCATGGAATAGCGAGGTGTTTCTCAACTCGTCCGAAAGGGCTGCCCTGGACGACGTCGAACCGTTTGATGAGTGGGAAGAGTTTATTCTCTTCGCGAGACACTACATTGTTTTACACGCCACATCCTATCATCGGAGCGAGAAGGGTGCTGGACAGCAGATGCTTACCTCTCCTCCTGGCAAGCATGTCAAAGCAAATATGGTCGCCAACAAGTCTCTGGGTGCACCCAAGCGGCGATTCGGGTCACCATTGGTAGCATCCAGCCCAGAAGGAGGACAATACCTGGTCCACACCTTGGGTATGGGAATCAATGCAAGACTTGATTCGTGTGACATATACTCTATTCAAGAAAGCAACGTCTCTTTCGAAATGCCACCCATCGGCCCTTCCGCGAGGATCTGCCATACGACTACAGACCTGGGGCAGGGTGACTTTTTGCTTGTTGGAGGTCGTGCCTCTCCCTCAAAGGCTTTCAGTGACTGCTGGGTCTTGAAGAAGAGCTCGAACAGTTGGGAAAAGACGTTTGACCTGCCTGTTCCTTTGTTTCGACACTCTACTGTCAATTTGCCGGGCTCATCACTCGCTTTGGTATTAGGCGGCAAGACAGGGCCTTCTGAAATATCATCGGATTACTTTATCTTCCATCCCATCAGAGGATGGCTCAAATGTGCAGTTTCTGGAGTGTCGCCTAACTCGACCTTTGGGGCATTTGCCGTAGCTTCTACAGGCATTTCAAGCAAGCTTGGGCACTTTGAAGGCTTACTGGCTGGTGGAATAGACGGCGAAGGAAAGATCAACAACCAGGCCTACATTTGGACTGTTGACGTTACAACTCACGAGGTATGTTGATCTTATACTGCATACTTGCAACTGCACCAAGTATGATTATACTGACAGAAATGTAGCCAAGCATCCATTTTGAATCTGTCCCAAATTATGACCATCACTCCTGGGCATTGTCCGTTTTCGGTGCCCAAACTGCCAACATCGAATCCCTAAGTTTTGTGTGTGGTGGCGTTGGCCAAGATCCTTCTTCGCAAGGCCAATCCGTGGCTTGCCTTGCCATGAAGGACAAATCATTAGAGGTTCATCTCGTTGATTTGGGAGAAAAGGCCGGGCAGCTGCCTTTCATGGTAGGCTCTGCGACTGTTTCTTCCGGTTCTCAACTGGTCATAGTCGGTGGAGGAGCTACCTGCTTTTCCATGGGAACATTCTGGGATACCGGCATTTATAAAGTTGATCTTGCAGATGTTTTCTCTGGGATAATTCCTGGCCGACCAATCCATAATGAGCCAGTCGTTATTAAGTATCAGAATTCACCCAAGCTGACACAACCAACAACGGACTGTGGCCAGCCTGGACCCCAGTCCAATGCTTGTATCACTACGATTCCAAAGATCAAATTGCGATCAAAATCCGATTTCGAGAAATTAGTCCAGAATCGAAAGCCGGTTATCATTGAGGGCCTGGACTTGGGTGGCTGCACGGAGAAATGGAACCCGGAGTACATGGCACAAAGTATGGGCGAGACTAAAGAAGTGAGTTAGGCCGGGCCGTCCCAGCTTAGATTGGTTTACTAATTTGAAACATCAGGTTGTCGTTCACGAATGTCAGACTTCGACAGGCAGGATGGACTTCAACTCCAAGAACTTTCGTTATGTTACTGAGTCATTCTCATCGTTCATGACCAAAGCCGCCAGAGGAGAACCGTTGTACTTGCGTGCTCTCTCTGAAGAAAAGCCCACAGAGGCGCCGGCAAACCTTGCAGATGATTTCCCAGGCTTGGCCGACGACTTTCGGCTACCAGAAGAACTTGGCTCAGTTAAGGATCGGATGTTCAGTTCCGTGCTGAGAATATCTGGCAGAGCAAACATGTGGCTGCACTACGATGTAAGTAAACGATGAAACTGTGACTTGCTCTGCTTTGCTAATCAGTCGATAAACACAGGTCATGGCAAACGTTTACACGCAAATCCAAGGCTCAAAGCGCATGATTCTATTCCCGCCAACTGACGTTAACCATTTAGCCTTTGCGCCAGGTGCCTCGAGTTCAAGCCTAGACGTCTTTTCAGCCCTAGATACGAATCGACTGGCATCGACTAATCCCTACGAAGCATTCCTGAACCCAGGCGATCTTCTGTTTATCCCAGCTATGTGGTTCCATACAGCCAGCCCATTGGCGGATCTCAGTGTCGCAGTCAATGTATTCTTCCGCGATCTTGAAAGTGGTTACTCGACAGGCAGAGATGTTTATGGGAACCGAGATCTGGCTGCGTACGAGAAGGGACGACAAGACATCAGCCGGATTACCAAGAGTTTCGACCGTTTGCCTTCTGAGATCCGTCAATTCTACCTTAGAAGGCTTGCGGATGAGCTGCTACAAGAACAGCACTGATGGAACAAAGTAGCAATGGACCCAAGGGCCGGGATGGAGGGCGGGAGGCGCTGAGGTTATTGACAGATACTTGTTTTTACGGTTCATGACGCTACGTTATCCCTCAACAGAACGCCATCTGTGGAACGGAATCAAGGACCCTACCCTCAGGGTATCAGAAGCATAAGAGACAAAATTAGTAGGTCAGTTTATGCTCCTTAGACTATAGTTCTTAGACTACTTATTTTTGCACCCTAAAGCTTAGGAGGCCAACATTCTGCTACCCACTAGCCCACATAGCCTACTGTATCCAGGTTTTCTTTAGACTTGCCGAGGACTCTGCGGATGAGTCAACGCTCGTGATTGACTTCAATCCAACGAGCTGGGGCTTTGTGGCTAAAGTCAATGGGGCTGGCGGGTCTGTGATTGAACCCTCAGGTTGAATATACCTCACCTACCAACGTAGATACCGTATTAAGTGATAAAGCACCTACCTGTTTCGAGGTCAGAGCGCACTAAACATCATGATTACGCTGCCTCTTGCATATAACACGGAGGTATTTCTCAGACAGGGAGGGTTACTCCCTGTCTGTTTGCTCTGCCCCTTGCAGAAGCGTCGGCTATTACTTGACTATTACGAGCTGAAGAAAGTGAGTGCTCCTAAGATCCACATTTTAGTTTGTGCCCTTCCCTCGGGTTGGGTTGGGTTGGGCTTTTTTTCGATCGTGCGCTTACCCGAAGGATCATTGATGTTAAGCCATGGTCGACGCCATGACGGGTAGCAGAATCTACCGGAAGCAATTAGTAGATGTCAAATGCTTTTTAATTTTTGACTTGGTCAGTACCATGGTCCATGGCTATGGTTGTAGACTTGCATGAATGGCGTTCATCGCGATGTAGAAAAAGAGGCGAAATATCCGGAACACCACGAGGTCTAGACTAAAGATTGTCAACGGACATATAACAGATTCACGAGCGGGTTCTCTTCATTAAGGCGATAATGTAAGACATGATGTTACAGCGGGTCACATCGTGTTGTGCTAGGTGTTGTACGTGCGTGCACAACACCAACACTCGAGAATATGATGTTGGCCAAGGTCATCAGTCTCTTTAAAAATGCAAGGAGTTGTTCAGGATTCAAGATCAAGGTGTGACGGAATGGCGTCGTAAGGTCAACTCAGAGGGAGATGAAGACAAAAAAAGGGATGCAAAGGGTTCCCTTTTCGAGACAAGCCTGATGTTTCTACTGGCTCTTGCTCATGTTACATTCCAGTTCGAGATCTAGGCTTAGACATGACTTCAAGTAGGTACCGAGTACCGAGGATTCTTTTGCCTTGATGAAGATGTATGTGTATGTCCTTAGATGGGCCCCTTGGACAAAGGGTTTGAGCTATTTACAAGACAGAAGAAAACTTCCTTGAATTAAGGATGTAGAAAACCGTGCTTGCATGTGTCTCAGCCTCGGTTGTGGATGTTATCGTCAGCTATGGTACAGTAAACTTTGGATGCGTATTGTACCAGGTTTAAGTGTCACAGACTCACAAGGGTCCTTGCTACGCCACTGATTTTGTAGATCAAGGGTGTTGAAATTGCTTCTGCAGGTTGGTAGATAAGTAATGAGTTAGTCTAGATATAATAAAAGAGGGGGATCGGATTAGATCGCCCGGGTTGTAACCGTACAATGTGGATCCCAGAGAGATATCAGGATGGCCTTGGACCAGATCGTTTGACTAGGCGTTTGTTGATTTCCCCGACGACATGGACATGGTAGATGAAGCAAAGACGGTTTAGTTTCTCATGAATACGGTTCCACAAAATAACTCTGTGCATCTCTTGTCTCTGCATCACACAGAAAGAGAGAGTGTGTGGCTATCGTATATATCCGTTTCACAACCAAAGAACTTGGTTATATGATAAGACAGGGCAAAGTAAATAATAATTAAAGCAGACATTCGATCGAGACCAGGAATTGCATCATTTCGCATCGCATCGCATCTCATCGCATTACTTTTTGCTTTTGACTTTTAATTAGTGACACGTATTTTTTCTCTTTACATCCCCATCGTATCCATGTTAGCTAAAAGTAAAAACCGTAAGCTGCATGTGCCAATCCCGATCACTCCGGGCTGGACGAATAGCAGGTCCTGTTTCTAGAGGGTTATTCAAAGTCAGACAGACACTTGGCTACTATCTATACTTCTCCGCCTCCTTGCAGCTCCCGTTCCAGATCAAACCTAGCCCTGGACACTCCGAGCTCAGCTCTCTACTTGCCAGCTCCCTTTCCCTGATAGGAAGGCAAAAAGGAAGGATTCATCTGTTGCCGAATCCTGATCCCAACAGCTTGGTTTATGCGAGAAAAAAAGCCTGCAGGTAATCTCTGTCGATACAATGTCTCGACTGTGAATGGCTCAACGCCCACACACTCGTCATCCCCGAGGGAGAAACTCGATCACGCTAACAAAATTGGCGAGATAAGTTGACAGCCCTCCGGCACAAACTAATCATGCCCGTTGTACCAACTCGAGATCTTTGGCTTCTTTAGCGCCGTCACTCTAATGGAGAAACAGAGAATCTCAAGCCACAACTGGTCGGCCACCATTCTCCATTGGTTCAAGGCTCGGGGCATTGGCTCGTTAGTTAGCTTGTCTCCTCCAATGTCCCGTTTCTTAGCGGCTAGTAGACACCGGGTTCTTGGTGTGTGTGCACTGTACTTGCTTCTCCCTTGTGTAAACGCAGAGCAGATGCTGGTTGACCTCACATCAGGTTGTGTCCGTAGTGGCTAGCGAGGCCGATATGGCAAACTCCACTATCATACAGCCTGCAGGTGTCGGTTAAGAACCTCTGATGTCCCAGATGTCTTTGATATCTCGTCCAAGACCCTTGCCATCACCATCTACGGCGGAAGCAACTCTCTGTTGCCCCTCCAAACATCCGTCGACATGTCGACCGAAGCATTGCTTCAGAAGTACCAAGGCCATATCGTGCCACAAAGCTACAATGCTGGGTTTGTCGCTTTGAGCTATGTGGTCAGCCTGGTCGGTGCTGGTTCGACTCTCGAACTCATTAACCGCCGAACCGGATTCAGAGGTCTCTTCAACCAGTATGTCTACAACCGTTTAGTCAAAACTCCATCAGGGAACAGCGCTAACCGAAGCAGTCTGCTACTGATGGGCTCAGCAGTTACTATGGGTGGAGTGTCTATCTGGTGTATGGTAAGTAGTTTAGTTGTATGCCTCTTTGAATTTTCAACACGTACTGATCATCACATAACAACAGCACTTTATCGGTAACAGAGCCATCGACCTTGCCGATGGGCAGCCCGAACTGCAAGTCGCCTATTCCAGTAGCTTCACCGCGATATCCTTTTTCGTCCCAATTATAGTGCTTCTTGCCGCCTTCATGGCCGTCGGTACCAACAACGTCGTCTCGTGGTGGAGAGTCGTAGCTGGCGGTGTCCTTTGTGGAACAGCTGTATGCGGAATGCACTATCTCGGCAATGCCTCCATCAACAACTACACCTGCGTATATCAACCGGCATATGTTATAGGATCCGCCATCATTGCTATAGTGGCAAGCAATGTTGCCTTGGCTATGTTCTTCGTTTTTCGAGCCATGTGGGCGAATGCATGGTGGAAACGAGGTATCTCGGCCATTGTGTTGGCTGGGGCCGTTTCAGGCATGCATTGGTGTGCTTCTGTTGGAACCCGTTATCGACTCAAGAGCATCAAGCCTAATGGAAATGAGCCCTCCAGAACAGGCACCGTTGTCGTCGTCATCTGCTTGTCCCTAGGGGCATGTTTCGTCATTGCTATCTCGGCGATTCTTCGAGCAAGAAACATGAGAAGAATGGCCCTACGTGCCCAGCAGATTACTCTCGCAGCAGCCATCTTCGACAAGGGCGGAAGAATTCTGGTTGATCCTGATGGATACATCCCAAACACTGTGGTGACTGACTCTTTTCTGGAAAAGGACGCAAAAGAAGGATTCAACACTGGCCATCCTCTGTTCCATTGGATGTATCAAGCATCAAGGAACTGGAACATGATCTGGAGTCTCATAGGAGGCATGAGGCAGCACCTATCGGAATTACCACATTCCCGCGCAAAGGATGGCCGTCGGGGAATTCAACTCGTGAGCGACCATGGCGAAACCATAGACAGGTACGACATGATATTCAGAGAGCTTTTCTGTTTAGCTGCTGCTGCTCTGGCTGATCGTTTCCGGGAAGATCTCACATCGATCGGAGTGCTCTGGGATCAAATCCTGCCGACCGGTGCCAGCGGTCGAAGACCACAGTCCCAACCCCTGCCCCAGCACCAGCCCCAGTCGCGCAAGCAATCTATTGCAGGGGGAAGCGGCTTGGAAGGAAGCGACACTGTTGACGAAGTGCACAACAGTTTGGATATTACCGAGAAAGGTCTACATTCGCTGGACTATGGTTATGGCTATGGCCGTGGATCGCTCATGTTCCTCATCCGCCGTTCCGAATCGGCTCGTGATAACGAACGTCTCATCTCAGCCGGTTATCGTTTTGCTGAGTTGCATCAGGTCAGCGATCTCATCAAATCGAACATGCAGATCCAAACCCCTGAATTCGAAAGCAAGCTTAGGGAAATGGCAAGCTACACGAGTGAACACAATCACATTCGCCAGGGTACCCATTTAGGCTTCTTTGCCGTTCGAGCTCGTGTCAGCTCCAGCTTTGAGGTCCTTGTGAGGAAGGGCGCACGTCACTTGCTTCCGACGATGCCCCTCCCGTTCAAGGACTTACAAGATTGGCATTTGAATTATCTCAGGAGATTTGAGAATATGCCAGTGTCCAAAATTGTGGAGAAATGCAAGGAGGATTCTCAGCATAATGACCGAGAGGCTGAGTTCGCTGGGCAAATCGCAGACACCATCCAAGGTTTGCGTGAATGGACACAGGAACCCTTGCTTGAGGATGCACTTCTCACGTCGACGACGTTTCGCATCCCTTGTCGTGGAGACGAGAAGTGGTCAGAAGCAACGATGATTGCAGTACGCCTCGTCATTCCCATTCATTCGGTATTGTCAAGCCCAACTTGCGAGTTTGTTCCTCTGAGCTTCTTCAGAATGCGTCAGGTATCGACACAATCCTACCAGGAATTCACACGAGGGTTACATCAAGAATTCGGTCATATTGCGAAAACGGCAGATCGTCATGAAGAATCTCAAGTTGGTTTGACTCCTTCAGCATCCAGTCGATGGCCATTTGGGCGTTTAGACACAGCTAAAAGTACTCGAACTAGAGGGAAATATGCATCAAATGTTTCTGGACGTCTGACTTCGTTTGCTGACTCAACACGATCAAGCTCAACAATCAATCTTTGCTCCCCAGGATTCAACATTCGAACCCAATCCATTGACTCAACGGATGTGTCAGCGCCATACACGCCCCGACAGGAGCCTCTCCAGACTGCACCGTCGTATGGTGGTATTATGGTGTTCCAAGAGATCACCGTGGATGTGCAAGAGGGCAATGAGCCACCGGGAAGAAAGCCAAGCAGCGGCTCTGACGCTGCTACGCTGGCAATCGAGAAAACAATCACGAGACCTCTGCCATCGGCAGGTATCGAGTTACAGTCTATGAGTCATTTTGGGGCCAACGATGTTGGTACGCAGTTTTCCAACGATATTGAGGCAGGTAAAGGGGGTCACAGTTATGTGACGTGCTTTGTCGATGTTTTGTTCGCAAAGACGGTAGAAAGCCGTTAATTATTTGACCAAATTGCTTTGTTTGTGCTTGTAGGATTGGCTGGGCTGCTTTTGTGCGTGGTGTTGGTTTGTTCTCTTGATGAGCGGTTGATTAAAAAAGATACCAGGTGCCTTTTCAGGCACAACTACAGTATTGCGGAACAGGATAGTATATAGAATACTTAGGCAGTATAATTTGGTAATGAATCATGTTGATATTGAACTTCCTAATATTGTGCTGCGATGAAGGATGGGTGTTGAAGCGTGTGAGTGGTATAAGGGGGAAGTTTTGTGAGACTGGTTTGTTGAATTTTGGCCTACCTAGGTAGGTAGAAAGGATTGGCTTAGTTATCTCCCTCATACTTAATGTGAACATGTAACTGAGTTGGCATTCTTCCCCTTGGTTGATTCCCTGACTACCTAGTAGGTACTGGAAACTTGGCGTTAGAACAAATTACTGCCTACCTATTAAGGTATCCTACCTCTTACATAGGTTATAAGTTATTTATTATTTATCATGTTTCCTTAAATGCATGCTGACGGTGGAACAGGCAACAGCCAATCTAAGGAAGCTTCTAGAAGTCTAGCTAGGCTATACAATCCCATGCTTCTTCTAACTTAGATAGAAGAACCAGGCCCCTTCTCTCATATTTCGTCTTTCCTTTCCACCCGCCTCCAAGCTTTAGGGTATAAAAATAAACAGCCTAAAAGGTGTGGTCTAAGGAGCATAAACTGATCGACTTTTCGTCTTTTGTCTCTTGTGCCTCTAGCGGCCAATTTCTCTGATACCATGAGGAGTTCCCGTAGGAATCTCATCGATACCTGTGCGGTGTATTATAGTATATAGGCAACAGCGGAACAACTAGAAACGAAAACGCAGGACGGAGCTTCCTTCCACTTTACACAACCTGCCCCAAGAATCAACCCCCGACAATGCCCAGCATTTGCTCATTACTGCCTCCATCATTTGAGGATACCTCTAAGGAAGTCACCAAAGACTAAAACCACCGGACGAAAACCGGACGTCCGTGAAGGATGACTGGCTCAACTACCTCAAGTATGCCGACATGTGGGTTAAATAGGGGCATAAACTGGACGACACGGAAAAGCACATCTGAAGGGAGGATGCTGGCGACATCGTGGCTGCAAGAGGCAAGCCGGCGATCGGCAATACGAAGTATGTCAGGCGTGGTAACCATTCCTGGGCTGGCATCACCTTCGGAAAGGTTGTATACGGCGTGGACAAGGTTCTAACCTCCCCTTGCTTGGAGGAGTTCCAATACAAGTTCCCAGACGCCGACCTGTCAAAGTGGGAGCCAAGCGAAGACAGCCCTACTCAGTCCTTACTGAGCAACGCGACGCAAACGGGACGGGTATCAGAGGAAGTTAAACTCAAACTCCAAGCAAAGTACCCGACTACCGACGTCGCGACAAAGTCGAAAAAGCGTCAGCAGACCCAACAGAAGACGGGCTCAACCAAGAGACATAAACTCACCGGAAGCAGGACGTCGTGAGCAGGCAGTAGGACGTTACCAAGCTGGTAGCAGATCTTCGATACGTATTTCAGGATATCAAGAGCAGCGTCAAGGAAGTGCATACAATGCAGAGACAGATCGACGACAAGGGGGCACCACAAACGGCAAGCTTGACAAGCTTAGCGAAACAATGCTAAAACTTGTCAATGTTGTTTCAGACCCAGCTCGAAAGGACGACGACGTCGCAACTATTAACGTACAGTGTATGAACCGCGTCATTGAAGACTTCAAGGAACGGATTGAAGGGCTGGAGGTGGAGGCACAACAACGTTGTGATCTGAGGAACAGCAACGTCGTTATATGGCTTGATTGAGGTAAAGCAACGCAGGAATATGGTTTCATATGCACGTGGTTCTACAGATGAAGGGGAAGTTTGGACTTAGATCAGACTTTTAGGTTATTTATTTCTATGCCCTAAGACTCAAGAGATAATGTCTATCATCACTTCTTCACGTCACCGTCACCGTCAACGAGTATCGCGATCATCAGGCTTCTCATTGTATTGGTCCCTGGCATCGAGGTCAGTCTGCTCCCTACGCTTTCACCTTCAGTCTCTCTTCGCTGATGCCAAAGTTTTTAAGAGACTTCGCCGCAAATTCCACGAGATCCACTTGTCTGGGCTCTCCAGTGATAGCAAGACTGCTGGCATTGAGCGTAATATCGCTCTTATTATCCGTGATTGCCGACTCAAGCGGCGCATCCTTACAGAGTGGAGGCTCGATTAGTAGCATTGCGACAATGTCCATGCCTATAATCTCCCCCCAGCGGCATTGGAATTGAATTCCCAAGTCACACATACAAAACACTAGAACGTGGAGATAAACTATATCAGTTCAAACTAGAAGTTGGATTAGTAGGTCAATACTCGGCACGCTCATCTCTAGTCATATACTCAAGTGCAAGCATGATCTGAATCTCGAAGGCGGAGTCAATACCAGCGTTGTTCGCAACACTAGAGATCTACTCAGTCTCGCAAGGCCTTCCATTTATGTAGCGAAGACTGAGTGCATATATGGACTTGGAACAGCCAACGTTGGTTGCCATGCTTAAAATCAATATGTCACTATAATGCATTGCGTCGGCAAAGACAAAGGGCCACATGATAGCCCATTTCCGCCTGATGTCCTTATTATCTATACTTCTAAGATATACATTATTGTCTTCTATTTCCTTGCTATTTATCTAGGCAGGTTTCTAATAATATATATATATAATAGTTCCTGCTACTACAGATCATCCTGGCAACACACGTAGCCAAGCTCCCTTCGTCGATGCTTGGGACAACTAAACGCATTCTTTTGTAACCAGGTGCAAACACATAGCGTAGGATAGTTGTTCACAAAAACTTTTATTTGTATGGCAGTTCAGTATGTTCAGTGAATACTGTTTCTCCCTATTTGAATCACTGTTGCAACTGCCACTTCAGAAACATTATACGCGCTCAGGCCAATGGATTACAGACATCAAAACCATGCACAATTACCCTATATACTGTAATGTCTGGTTAATTCCATACATTTATGAGATCTAAATCGTACTAGTTGAATAATTTAACACTAATACTCTGGTCAATTCAGCAGCAGATACGATTAGTCGAGCTATCATACTTCAGATGGTAACTTCCCATCAATAGAACTTGACACTATATTCATCTGAGGAGAACAGCTACTAATACTTGATCTAGATTTAGTAGGCTCTTCAAGCTATAGCTACGATCATTTCATGTGATACTCGTTCCTGATTAACATAATTCTGAATAAGATAGGGTTTCAAAGTTTCAGCACAGCTATAGCTTCCCTGAATCTCATCTGATCTCATCTACCTGGCTATTTCCAACATCTACTTCTGACTTTCATCCTTACCTACATAACTGCCAAGGTAGCCTACCAGGGAATGGTGGAATTGATAAGAAACTTACCCAGCATGACAAGAAGAAGGGGGGGAAGTAGACCTTTACATGACTCACTCGTGCCATGGCAGACGATCTGGGCAGAAATGATAGCTACCAAAATTCCTTAAAGAACCTACTGGATATCATAATTGGTTGCATAATGGTCAATCAAGGATCTACTGGGAATGAAATCAGCCCTAAGGAATTTCCGGTTTGAAAGCCTGGGTACATCCTGGTTATTTCAGCCAGCCAGCCTCTTATGGCAATGGCGCATCAGATTACCACAAGGCCAAATACCATTCGATGCATGCCTGATCAGTTATCACTTGGGCGCTTTTAGTAGTTCCTCTATGGGAAAGCACATCGTCGATACGGGGAGCTTGAGACTGTTGGGCACATGATTAGCAACCCAGGCCAGCCTTACTTCTGCTCATTCCCTTCCAAATTCCGACTTGATCATAGTTGAGACATTCCAGAAGAGTTCAATTTGGGGGGTTTTGCTCCGGCAATGTGAGCTTGCCCAACTCATCAGTTTCAATGTGTTCTTGTTACCAGTGGCTTTGGGTTGGGTTAGCTCTGGAATGTAATCTTTTGTCCTCACGGTGGCGCATCAGTATCATAAACTCGAAAAGGAACAGGAAAATGTTGTTAATGTAATGCAATTCTTGTTAGACATTACGTCTAGATTCCCTCCCATCTATCTAGGATGGAAGGGGGGTATCATGCTAACTAGACACGAGAGTCCATCTCTTTCTTTTCTTTGTAACCATCGTTCATATTAGGCCTGTAAAAAAGAGGCCGTTATCGTCATCATCAGACTGGTCACCAAAGACATGTTTTGGTGTCCCCCCAGTCGTTTATCGCCCCATGAAAATGCAATTTCAGCATCCAAAAAGCTTGGATGGAAGACCTGATGCGTACATCAGAGCCAAACAATCTCGCAAATGAATAACAAACCCTCCCTGAGCCCTGGTGATGTACTTTAATTGAGAAACCAAATTGTATCGCCATAAACGCCTTGCCTGTCCCGAATGGCCAACTTCATTAATATGGCCCATGATGAATTCATGTATGCAAGTCGTAACGTAACGTCCAGCATAAAAACAAAATTAAAACGTATTGAATGGAGGATGAACCTGGAGGTCCAAGCCACATCTTATGTCGCGGCTTCCATCTTAGCCATGGAAGTAGACGAACCGACCCGAAACACGCGCTGTAGCAAGCTATGTTTGCTGCCATTCGCTCGTCTATAGCTGAGGGCGATGGAGTCGCAGCCCTCGTTCGAACTCATCGACGATCGGCTTGGTGATCGGCGGCGGTCGAGCTCTGCGTCCCACCCGTACATGTCTTCAATAGGAGACGCGTAACGGAAAGCTTGATGATCCGAGGTGGTTGAAGGGGAACCAAAATCCTCACTGCTTGCAGTAGGTGTGGGTAGGTATTTGGATACATCTACCATTGGAATCTGAGTGGCTTGCACGTTGCCTCCAGAGCATACAGGTGATATTGATAAGAGTGGGAGATCGTGGCGATAAGAAGTGCTGTGTGACTCAGCAACATGCTTACCTGCCATGGGCTGCATAGCAGCGACGAAATCGTGGTGCTTGTTTGATCGTCTTCTCATGCGTATGTTCTTTTGCACGAGAGACGTCTTCACACCGTTACGAACGGTGTCGAATTTTGCGGTCGTGCCATTCCCAAATCCGCCGTCTTGTCGGAGGTCAGGATTGTGGTGCCAACCATCGTCTGCTGCATGCAGAGTGCCATGCAGAGGAGGACCGAAACGAACGCCTTCCGTCTCATGAGTTTCTTCTGAAATATCATGAGTCCAGTCAGCTTCGTTGGACGATTCAGGTAATGACGCGACCTGTGACCCTCATAAGGAGTCGTGGTGCATATGAAACCCTTCTGCAGGATGTGATGAGGTAGGGGCAGAGCGTGTCCTAGAGCTCTTGCGATTGAAACCCAACTTGGCACCCATCTTCTTCCAGCCCTTGTTGTGAGCGGCAACAGCACGTTGGAGACCACCGGGAGAAGTGGTAAAGGCCCATTCGGAAGTAGGGGGCGTTGTCGGGGGAGTCATGGGTTCCATACCCGGAGCTGAGTTGCAGTCGCTGTCGTCTGTCAGAGATTCGGGCTCATGGTGATGGTGCATTGAGTTCATCGATCGAACGGGAGCTCCCATTCGAGTATTGCTATTTGAGGACCGGCGAGACCCACGGCCATGCTCTTCTGTGGATCCATCGATGTGCATGGGAGCGACAGACTGGAGGAAAGGGACGAGTAAAGAATCGTTCATAAGCTCATATAGAATACGACCAGCCTCTTCCAATTGTGCAGGGTGGGGAGGAGAAGGGCCGCAAGGGAGGCCGAGCAACTGATCTCGAATGCGGGCGGGGAGGTTGACCTCTCGAGGAGCACAAGGAATGATGTAAACCTGCATGAGCTTTTCCCACAATACACAAACACGGTCGTTGTCCTCCTGGGTGCGATTCGAATTGTTGGTGATGATTTCGTTGTAAAAAGCGGCGTATCGTTGTGAGTCGAGTGTAAATTCGAGGCTCTCCATACAGTGATTTTGAGAAAGATAGGCCATAAAAGCACTCAGAGTCCACGGTGGCGAGGCGACATCGAGTAGAATCTCAGTGAGCGATGGTGGGCGAGAGCTTGTTGTGCCATTCGGTGTGGAAGCTCCCGACATGAAGGCTTCGCTAACGGGTCTCGAGACGGGTGAATCGACGTCGAAAATATCCTCGAAAGCGGAAGATGGTTGAGGAGATGGAGGTATGGCATGGCAATCAAGAGATTGCCTCCGCGAACGCGACACACCCATCATTGTAGTCAATCCAAGCGTTCTGAGCAAGTATTGAATAATAAATAAATCAAATCAGGAAACAGATCGTAGACTCGAAGCGTCTTGGAGGGAGGGGACGAGGTCAGGTAATAAGAGCGAAACCAAGTGGAGTCGTGGTACGGCGGGCGGGTAGTGGAAATCTGACGCAGAAACTAACGCAGTTGCCCATGTAGTGGAGGCAGGAAGGGGCGTCAAGTCTAGATGTAAGGCTACCGTAGGAACGATGAGGCCATCAATGTCAAAATATGTCTTGAACTTATTGATTAAGATCAAATAAGAATTTCCGAAGAATGATCGTAATGACGATTGAAGATACGCAGGCTTGATATGAAGCCAATCTATACCGCCAGAGGAGTCGATGAATGAAATCAGAAGGCAAGATTAAGTTCCAAGATTGCCAAAAATGACAATATTCAAGTATAAGATCGTTGCGGTATTGTAGAAGCGTAACAAAAGTAAGAATGTCACAACGGACAAGACGGGTAGCGTAATTGATGATCGGGCGTGACAACAAAGAAGTCCGTCTGAAGGTTGGTCAATGTGACGTTTTGAGGACAATCGGTCCAAAAGCGGAGATGGCGCAAAGAGGGTCGAGGCCGTCGGGTTTAGAAGCGTAGAGGTTGCTGGGTAGTTCCTGTATTGGAATGCGAGGGTCGTGGGAGCCGCGAGCCGGCGAATGTCGTCGTAGACGGATTGCGGATGGTGCCTTTGCAAGAGGGCTTGGCAAAGACCGGGTAGAGAGGAACACGGGTCTGGGACAGACGAAGACGACGAGAGTTCGATGGCGTGTAGCCGACTGCGAGTTTATCGACAAGATAACAGAACGTCTAGAGCGGAATGATGTTTGGTTTGGTTTGGGCGAAGGACAGGTTAAATCATAGGAATGCGGACCTGGGGGACCCAAAGTGTAATAAGAGGTCCAGAGTCCAGACCCTGGTTGCAGAACAGGTAGGCTGTGGAGGTGAAAGGGCGAGAAAGCG